GTTGCAATGCACTTGTGTATGCAGATTGGGCAACGAAACAGATTTGGCTTAGAAAAGTCTACCCTGAGAAAGCTACAAGCTGCTACAACTGGTTTATTGACTTTGAGACAGAACCTTCTCCCTGATGCTGAGGAATGAAACTCCTGGAAAATCATGAGCTGCTAGTCATATGTTGTTTGGGGATGTGTTGTGTCCCTCTCTTTCCTTCTCTGATGTAGTCTCAAGTCTATGCAGTCAATTTCTATGATGTTAACCTCTACTTTGCCCTTCAGCAGCTCATGACTGTCCATTCATTCTAATCACTTGGTATAGATAGTTCACTGCATTCTGGGGCAGAGCGTGGTTGCAAGGAGTTCCAGTGCCTCAATCTTCCATTAAAGCGTGGCGAAGCAAGCAAAGGAGCCTTGTGAAAGCTAGGGTGGCACAGCAGTTAGAGCTCTGGACTGGGGCTCAGGAGGTCCAGGTCCTAGTCTCCTCTTATCCATGAACACTCATTGAGTGACTTTGGGCCAGCAATGGATTCTCAGCCTAACCTCCCTCCCAGCCTTGTTGCTGTGAGCACAACATGGAGAGGAGTGCCTTATAAGCCACCCGTGTTCCATGCAAGAGCAAGCAAAGTGGGGTATAAGTGCAATGCAGCAATAAGATTAACCTGGCCAGTGCAGGATGCCTCTTCTCTGCCCATCACCACGGTGCTTGCACTGTGTGGCCACGCTTGGGTTGCAAGGATGAGGCCATGTCTGTGCTGCAGAGGATGACGTCAGGTGTTCACCCAGAGATCAGTTCCTGGTGCTTGCCTGCCATGCAGATGCAATGCGTGTGTGAGGGCGTAATTGGTGCCTCATGGCCAGGTTGCCATGGATGCTGTGGGAGGGTTTGTCTGTGTTGCTTTATTATGCATAGTTTCTATGGGTACCGTTTTGCTTCCTGCTTTATTAGTGGAAGTGCACGAGAAGGCAATTGCATTATCTGAAGGTTACACCTGCACAGGCTAGTAGGATTGCCCTGAATAGAAGAAGGTGGCCAGGGGCAACTGGGAGTGATGTAGTGTTTCAGGACTTTTCCAGAAGCAGTGATGTCATCTGGCTGAATGCTGATGTAATAGATGAACCCTCCTTGCTCCGGCCAGTGAATGAGGTAATAAGAAGGCTTCTGAGGAACAGAAGAACACAGAAAATGTTAGAGAATGAGGGAAATAATTAAGCAGAGGCTGGCCACTTCTTTGATGCAGTCCCTCCTTCACATTAGTAGTTTAAAGCAGTTTTACAGGTTTAAAGCAGCTGTTGCTTGTGCAGCTAATTGAAAGCCAAAGATTGCAGTTAAGATGGCCAACGTTCTTTTGCCAAAAAGGAATGTGTTCTACAGATTGGATCTACTCATTGAGAAGGAAGTGGCACTGAGTACAATGAAAGTTTCTTTCTGATAATGATGTATCAATTTTCACTCATGCCTCAAACCTGATGGTGGGATTTTTGATTTTGATGAAGTTTTAAACAAGTTAGGTCCTTTGAATAGCAATAATAAAAAAGGTGTGTGTGTGTGTATCAAATGTATGGATGGATGGATGTTTGGAGAGAGGAAGAGGGAGAGAGAACAGTTGTAACTACAGAGTGTCCTTGTGGATGTGGCAATTGGGAATATCATGCTGAGTTTTCACACTCCACCACTTTACTTGCATAAGTCATGCAACTAGTGAAACTGGGCCTAGCAAGTCAGCATAAGAATGCAAGAGATAAGTAAGCCATCAATGGACAAAAAGGCCTTAAACAGGACTTTGCACGCAGCTGGCTCTCAATGGAATGCATTAATTGGCCTTGAACATTCTCTGTGCTGAATGCTCTGTTGTCTATATGTACATATGTGCAAGGATAGGCTTTGCAGCAGAAGATAAGCTTTGGAAGAAGCTGGTTATTATCATTAAAGTTATTTATGTATTAGATTTATATCCTACCTAACAGGCAACAGTTCCTTAGGGAATAGTTTACAATTGTACTCTAACGAATGTTGTTTCAAATATTTAAACTTTGCAGTGACAGAAGACCACTTTTTTTTTAAGGAGGGTGCTAAGCTGACTCTGCAGCTTTAGTTTTATAGGCACCTATAACAGGCTGCCAGACAAACCTTGTGGAATTCTATGACAAGGTTTCAAGGTGGCTGGACGGAGGGGACACACTGGATGTGGTTTACCTGGATTTCAGCAAGTCCTTTGACAAAGTGCCTCATGATATCCTGGTTGAGAAATTGAGGAGTTTTGGGATAGACTGATGCACTGTCCGGTGGATTAGGGCATGGTTGACTGACCAAAAGCAGAGGGTAACCATTAGTGGGGAATCATCAGGATGGGGGCCAGTGACAAGCAGCACCTTCCAGGGCTCTATCCTGAGGCCAATCCTGTTCAATCTTTTCATCAATGACATGGAAGAAGGGGTGAACAGTCTGCTGATCAAATTTGCAGACGACACTAAAACAGGGGCAGTGGCACAGCTGAGGAGCAGGTACTCCAGATCCAAAAGGATCTGGACAGACTATGGAAGTGGCCAGGAGACAACAGGATGGCGTTCAATGTGGATAAGTGCAAGGTCTTTCACTTGGGGCATAGGAATAGGTGTCATAAGTACAGGTTAGGGGACAAGTGGCTGGAGAGCAGCACTTGTGAAAGGGATCTCAGGGTACTGGTTAACTGCAGGCTAAACATAAACTGGCAGTGTGACGCGGTGGTCAAGAGGGCAAATGCCACCCTTGGTTGCAAAGCCAGAAGCGTGGCTTCTAGATCAAGAGAGGTATTACTACCACTCTACACAACTCTGGTGTGCTTGCAACTGGAGTATTGTGTTCAGTTCTGGGCCCCTCCTTACAGGAAGGATATAGCCAGGTTAGAGTCAGTGCAGCGAAGGGCCACAAGGTTGGTGGCTGGATTGCAGGGAAAAGCCATATGAGGCGAGACTGGGAGAACTGGGTCTTTTCAGCCTGGAGAAGAGGAGACTCTGAGGGGAACTGTTGGCGACATATTGAGGAGGTGAGGAGGTGGGTGGAGACCTGTTCTCCCCTACAGAGGAGGGCAGGATGTCCTCCAATGGAGCAAAGCTCAGGGAACAAAGGTTCAATTTGGATTCCAAGAAGTACTTCCTGACAGTTAGGACCCCGAGGATATGGAATGGGCTTCCACGGGAGGTGGTTGAGGCCCCATTGGTGAGGGTGTGCAAGGATAGGCTGGACATGCACGTGGTAGGCATGTCATGAATGGAGCCTGCTGGAGCTGGGGGTCAGACTAGATGGCCCGGGAGACCCCTTCTGATTTGCTCTGTTTTAATGTTTCTATGCTATCTGCCCACATTGAAGAGCTATCAACTACCCAAGACACCCTCCCTGAGAAGTAGCAGCAGCAACTTCTTGAAGTTGGGATCAGCCAAAGCCCCACAAGCTTATGTTAAATGGTTAAGGCAAATGGGAAAACAGTGTTCCTCCATATCAGCCTTCATGAGTATACTTGTTATGATAAACATGAAATAGAGGAATCTTTTCCAAGGCAACCTGTTCACAGAGCTGACTGTGTATTGTACTACAGTAAAGAGGAGGAAATAGCTACTTCAAAATGAGGACAGTTGTGAAAGATCAATATTACAAAACTTTTCCACAAATATTCTACTGAACAGAAAAAAACGTTGGTAATGTGTCAACCTGCCCACTTCTACTCCCAACCCCAGCACATGGGCCTGTGCTAATTGTTCTAACCTTGGGGGAATTGGCATTTGGCAACTAAGGGGTGAAGAAGGTGCTATGAAAATGGCAAAGTGGACTTTGGAAGACTGTCTGCAGAGGCGCCTGGTTGGTGGTGGAAAATAGAGGCATTGCACCAATTCTAGATCAAGGAGTAAAAGGAAATAGAGCCAAAATGCTTATTTTTAAGAGGAATGTGAAGGATCTCACTTCCACAGAAACGTGGCAATTCAGCAGGTGCAAGCTACTTCCTGATCCCCCAATTTTTGACTACAGTTTCAAACTGGGGTAGTAATCTTCAGATCCAAGATCATGCTGTGTGCACCACAGTCTTTGCTCCAAAGCAAACAAGCCTTCAAACTAAAGATGGGGAAACTGAACAAATGCTAAAACAATATTTAGGAACTTCTGAGCCAAAACAATCAATTTTCAAAACCAGAATTTGGAACAGAGAGCCTAAAATCAAGGCTTCTCTTAGACAAGGGATAAGCAACTTGCATCCCATAGGCTCCACAGAACTCCCAAAACCTTCTGGTGTAGCTTCCATCACACCTGAAATTAAGGAGAACCAGAAACACATCTGAATTTGCTTTGCAAATAGAATGGCAACAAGAGGTGATATGCAATGCAAAAATGGGTTCAGACTAGCTTGTTTTAATGTATTTGGGTTCTGTACTTGCTCCAGAAAAATATGTCATTTTGCTTTATTATTCCTTTCCCCACCATTTTTGGTACCTGAGTATAAATGTGGGTGGCCCACAGCTACTCCATGATGGAGCACAAAACAATTTTATCTTCATTGCCCACTGTTGGGAAATCTGTTAATATGAGGAGCAGTAGATAAAGGTTGGAAATGAAGAAATATGGCTCCCAGACCACCCTGCCAATGGCCTGCTATGGCTGGGTTGGGCTGGGCCCTGGAACAAACTAGGATCAGATACATTTAGCAAAGTCAATTAAAAAGCAAAAGGTCAAACCACAGGAATACCCATCTAAGAAAAAAGGCAGATCCAAAAGCAAGATCTTATCAAGAGCTTGCATGCAAGAAGGAACAGTTTCCAGTGACTGTAAACTGAAATAAATAAACTGAAATGAATTGCTGTTGCAGCAATCCACAGGTCTCAAGAGGGTTATTATCTGGAGTTTCCAAAGCTCCAGTGAGGACTGAGCTGCAGCACATTAGAAGAAGTTCTCCTTGTGAAGAGAGCCCTTTATTCATGAAAGACTTTTCTTACGAACAGGCACTCTTCATGAGGTTCTGTCGGCTTGCCTCTTGAGATGCTGCCGTTCTCAGGGGGCAGGTGTTTACTCAGCTTCTTCCAGGTAAGGATCTATAGCCATCCCCCCAAAGTAGCCCAGGATCCTGGCATGGGGTGCTTTTCTGTGTTATTTGTTTCTGGGACCTCTGAGGAGGATTTCTCCAGCAGGCACATGACATCCAGACACTGGAGGAAACAGAGAAGGTACTGAGACAAGAACCCCGAATGACAAGAGTGGGAACCAATTGATTCCTGGGTTGCCCCAAGACAGAGTGCACCAAGTGGGACTGGGTTCAGGGTGAAATAGAATACAAGGACTGAACATTCTTCTCTGGTGAATGACAGGAAACCTCGAGGAGATTCCTGGCTCCTCCACTGACTTTCTGGCTACCTGATAGAATTCAAGATAGCTGGCAGAGCATTACAAAAACAGCGCATCTGGGAAATAGGTAGAGAGATACAGAAGAGGCATCCCAAGGGGTAGTCAGATGATGTTTTGCAGCTGATCTATGTTGGCTTTCAGATTGGACCTTGTTTCCCACCAAGACTCTGTCCTGGTCAGCTTAAAGGCACCATTGTGGATTATCTAGTGACTTAGACATCAAAGGGACTTCCATGGAGCAACACTTCTTAATTTTATTAGTTCAGACCTTTTGCTCTTACTGCCTTTCTCAGAACAAAGTGAATTTTTTGACCAGGGGCCAGGGTCATGCCAACCAAAAAGACCAAGTCCATGCCCAGGAAAAGATACTTCACAGTCTGAATTGAATGGTGATATGGCACCTCCTCCCATCCATGCCCACAAGCCAGTCAGAGCAATTGCTGGATCTTGCTTCAACACAGCTGATAGGAGGGCTGCTATTTCGGATGGCTATAGTCTATGCCCAGTATCAAAGGGAACACGCATGGGAGAGTCTTCATGCACTCTGGTCCTACAAGTGCACTCTGGTCCTTCATGCACTCTGGTCCTACAACATAGGTCCCCACCTATGCTGTGGCGGTGAGGGCGGCGAAGAAGAAATTCTTCTCCACTTCCATTGTCGCCTCACAGTGCTGTCCAGTGGAGCTCTTTTGGGTGGTACAGGGGCTGGTACATCCTGGCCCCAGGAAAGATCCTATGCCGCCCTCGGTGGCCCGCTGTGATGACTTTGCCCAGCACTTTAAGGAGAAAATCACTCAGATTCGTCACGAGCTGGACTCCACTAGTGATTGAGATTCTCTAGGGGAGGTGCCAATGTCGCTGTCTGGTCACATATTGTTGGATGAGTTTCAGTTGTTGCGGCCTGATGATGTGGACAAGGTGCTTGGACAAGTACATCTTACCACCTGTTTACTTGACCCTTGCCCATCTTGGCTACTGACCAAAGCCAAACACGGGATTGGTGCCTGGATCCTGGAGGTCATCAATGCCTCTGAGGGACGGCCGGGTGCCTGTCCCTCTAAAGGAGGCGGTGATCAGGCCGGTCCTAAAGAAGGTGTCCTTGGATCCAGAGATGGCCGCCAATTATAGACCAGTGGCCAACATCCCGTTCTTGGGCAAGATGTTGGAACGGGTGGTGGTGGGACAACTCCAAGCTCTCTTGGATGAGACTGATTATCTGGATCCATTTCAGTCCGGCTTCAGACCCGGGTACAGTACTGAATCTGCCTTGGTCGCCCTGTATGATGACCTGTGTAGGGAGAGAGACAGGGGGAGTGTGTCCCTATTGGTCCTCCTGGACCTTTCAGTGGCTTTCGATACCATCGACCATGATATCCTTCTGGATAGGCTAATGAGACTGGGAGTAGGAAGCACTGCTTGGCAGTGGTTCTGCTCCTACCTTGATGGCCAATTCCAGAAGGTGGTGCTGGGGGACTGTGGCTCTGTGCCATGGCAGCTATTTTGTCCCCCTTGCTATTCAACAGCTACATGAAACCGCTGGGAGAGGTCATCAGGGGGTGTGGGCTGTGGAATCATCAGTATGCTGATGATACCCAGCTCTACCTCTTTTTTAACCAGTCCAGGTGAGGCAGTGGCTGTACTGAACTGGTGCCTGGCCGAAGTAATGGGCTGGATGAGGGCCAATAAACTGAAGCTCAATCCAGACAAGATGGAGATCCTGTTGGTGGGTGGTCTGAGCTCCTGGGTAGGTGACTTGGACCTTGTCCTGAATGGGGTTGCACTCCCTCTGAAGGACAGGATGCACAGCTTGGGAGTTCTCCTCAACCTGGAGGTGTCCTTGGAAGCTCAAGTGACTGCGGTGGTGAGGAGCACTTTCCTTTAGCTGCGGCTAATATATCAGCTGCGTCCCTACCTGGAGGACGATTGCCTAGTGACAGTGACGCACGCATTGGTTACTTCCTGGTTGGATTTCTGTAATGTATTGTCACATAACCCCAGTCCTCTACCAGCCTCACTGGCTTCGCATCGAAGTCTGGGCTCAATTCAAGGTGTTGGTTATCACCTACAAAGCCCTTAACGACTTGGGACCTAGATACTTGAAGGAATGCCTGCTTCCATATTGGCCCTCCCACCCCTTGAAATTGGCGGCAGAGGCCCTCCTCCGGGAGACCTCCGTGAAAGACATCAGGAGGCAAAGTACCCGGAAGAGGGCCTTCTCTGCAGTGGCGCCCCATCTGTGGAATGCGCTCCCCAGAGAGGTCTGCCTGGTGCCGTCTTTATTTGTTTTTAGGTGCCAGGTGAAGACCTTTTTATTTAAACAATATTTTAATAATGTTTAATATTATCTATAGGTTTTAACTTGCAGCCTGAATGAATTGGGTTTTTAATTTGTATAATTTGTATTTTTTGGTATTATGTTTGTCTATTTATGTGAGCCATCCCGGGGCATTCAGCGATGGGATGGCATACAAAAACTCTAAATAAATAGGTAATAAATAAGTGGGATCCTGTGGGCAGCTGGTTGACCATGGAGAGAACTGAATGCTCAACTAGATTCATATTTGGTCTGATCAAGCAGGGGTCCTGTTCTGCTCTCATGCTAATGGCCTCCCCAGGGCTGAGGACACCATGGTGGCTTGCAGGGTGCAGTGCAGGTTGCATACCACCCCAATTCTGTCTGCTGCCTCCTCCCATCCTCTAGTGTTTGACGCGACTGCTTGACTCTGCTAAATGGCAGGGTCATCCCTGATAAAAGTTATCTTGGGTGAGTATGTGTTCTTCAAGGAGATGGAATCCAGTCCCTTTTTCCACAATAGCAGCAGCTGCTTCTGCCTCTGGAAATTGTCAGGTAGGGCCTCAGCTGCTCAAGACAGACGTATAAAGCAGCCAGACTTGCAGAAAGTTCAATGAGATTAATCCAGTTTGTTTGGGTTTTTTTCACCCCTTCCAGTAACTCCAGCCATTCTGGGGCTCTTGCATTTGCTGCCAATACACAGTCCCAATACACAGTGGACTGTGATCGCTTCCTGGCCCATTCTGAGGAATGAGGTCTTCATTATTTGACCCTATAAAAGGGAAGTAAGTGGCAGAGAGAGAAAGACAAAGGGAGAGGACAACTCTGCTTTCTGCTCTCTCTCCTTCATCCAAGCAGGAGAAGACTCTTAAACACCAAAGGTAAGAAGCTGGTGTGGATGGGCTTCAGCATTCTTATTGACTCTGCTGATTCTCTGCATTTGTACCTACCCTTCCTCTGAAGAGTGGTGTGCATCTGGGTGGGCAGAAGATAGATCTGGATCCACTGGAAGATCTCTGGCAGGTTTACAGTAAATCAACAAGGATTTCTGATTCTCAATTATCAGAGAAATGACCCCACTCCTATCCTAAATTGTACTGTACCCTCTCCTTGATATGATACCCTTGAATGCTGTCCAGAGCTTCTGGACTACAACTTCCATCATCCCCACCAGCCGGGGTTGGTGAGACTTTTAATTCAATACCTCTGGAAGGTACCCAGCAGACAGAGACGTATGGTGCATTGCATAAATGAGGGACGCTTCAGGGTAACCAAAAATGAAATGAACCATTTTGAAATGAAACTTTCCCGGGCTCTGGATTCTTTAATTCTGCAGCTGGAGAAGCTTGTGGTTTTAGTACAAAAAACAAAATAGGTCCCTTAAGCCCAGAGTCTGCCTACCTCTAATCTACAGTGCATGTCTCCCCACCACCCCATTTTATTCTCACAATAACCCGGAGGGTTGGGTTGGACAAGGAGATGGTGACTGTCCCAAGGTTATGCACTGAAGTTCCTATCAGAGCGCAGCTTTGCAACCAGGTCTGTTTAACCCTGGATCAACCACTGAGCCACTCCATTGGACTGCTTCTCTTTGTTTCATACTCATCAGCTGTTCCTACTGAACCGAGTCAACAAAGAGGAGCTGAGCAACCTGCATCTTAGTTTAATAGCCACTTCCCATTGGCGGGCACAGGAACTAGTTAGTGTGGGCAAAACTCAGTCTAAAGAGGAAAGGATGTGTTTCTGTGCTGATCAGCTTTTCATGGGATGTCATTTCTTTGGGCCAGGGACGCTATTCATGCCTGCTTGCAAGAGGGAGTGCTTCTGGGCTACCTGAAAGAGGTGAGAGCAAGAACACCACTAAGGGAATCCTGTTTGGACCAGGAGGATCTATCATCTTTCAAGTGACAAATGTTCCTTTCCTGCCAAGGTCCTTGAGTTATGGTTCTTGACCAACTCCAAAAGGTCTTGATGAGGTCATTTATCTGGATCCATTTCATTTGGGGTTTGGCCTAAATTTTGAGACAGAAAGAATCTTGGCACTTTGTATGATGACCTAGATCAGGAAAGAAATGGAGGAGGGTGGTCTTGTTGATTTTCCTTGATCTTTCAGCACCTTCTGATACTATTGAGCTTTGATTCCTTCTGGGGTGACAATCTGAGCTTAAATGGGAGGTCCTGCACTGCAGTGGCTTTGCTCCTACTTGGATGGCCATCTCCAAGGGATATAACTCAGCCCCATGAACTCTGCTCTATGCAATTCCAGCAGGAGCAGGTGTTTTAATTGTCAATCGTTTTTAACATGGCTTTTGACTGTTTTATATTTTTGCATGCAAAAAAGTTTGATATTTAGTTTTAGTATGCAGTGGATGGTGCAGAGGGTTTTGGCTATGGGGAAGGACAGAGATTTAAGAAAAAGTGAAGTGAAGTGAAGTGAAGTGAAATGAAGTGAAGTGAAGTGAAATGAAATGGGAGCTTGTGACCAAGGCATGGGAAAGCTGATTCACTGAAGGGAGGCATCCACTGAAGGAGTCTTGTCCAAGTGCCCTCCAAACTCTGGATCCAGCACTGCTAAACTGCCTCTCCCTTTCTATGTGTTCATTGAGACACTGCATATGCACATTTTTGCGCAAGATCTAATCTGAAATCTTTAAAGCTGTGCAAATGGAAGGAACTGTCCTGGCTGCCAGAGCTCTTGTGAAATGAAGCTGGAGCTCCAAAGCACTCCTCCCATTATTTTCCAGATGAGAGAAGCCACCTTTTTGCATGTACAAAGTGTTCTGTCACTGCATCTCTGTACTGGGAGAAGCTCCTCCTGTTGGTAATTCTCTGTGTCAGGCAGCTGTTATGAGCCACCCGCTCTATTTCAATCCAAATGACATTTTTTTTTAGGAAATCTTTGTAACACTCATGATGTGGAGCTATAGATTGGAGAAGTGGACTGTGGGGCGTTAAACCAGCATTCCTTAACCTGGAACTGTCCAGATGTTTTGGACTGCAGCTCGCAAGAATTCATGACTATCAGCTACGCTGAACAGGACTACTGGAGTTGAAATCCAAACTATTTGGAAGGCACCAGGTTGTGGAAAACAGCAGCACAGTCATATGCAACAAGCAAGCCAGAGCTTTTAATAGCATCTCTTCTCCAATTTCTTCTTTTGCAGCCATTGCCATGATGAAGAACCTGCTCCTTCTGGCTGGGTTAATGCTACTGAGTTGTGAGTAAGCTTGGTACCCTAAACACCCCTGCCCCCTCTGCTTTTAGGATAGCTATGTGAGTACTGGGCTTTTTAATATCCCAAAGGGAAAATTTCCACATTCTCTCAGTGTAGTAAAGGAACAGAAAGATGGATTTATTTATTTAAAGCTTTTATATACCACCTACTACAAGCGTCTTGGGACGGTTTTACAATATGAGGGTAAAAGCAACACAAAATAAAATAGAGCACAGCATCCAACTACCAGTAAATAAAACCCACCTTAAAACTAGTTAAAATTAACATAATGGGAAAACGCACCTTCTAATGCTTTCGAAGAATGATATTTGCTTTCAAAAGGTATATATTTGATTCACTCAAGTCAGGATACTTTCAAATGAGGTTGCCCTGTCTCAGTTCACAGAACTGTATAAATGTCCAGACAAGGGTACCTTCTGCCTGTGTAATGCTTCCACATTTTTCCATTGCTTCTCCCATCATTTTTCTTGCCACAAAAAACCTGTTATGGAAGACAAGGTGGAATCACTACACATCATTATTTCCCACACTAGGGCCCCTCTATTTGGAAGCAACCTTAATTTCTTTCAAGAAAAACATGGCGACTCAACCCAACCTCCCCCCCCCCCCACTGCCTCCCCAGTATTAAAGCTTATCCCAGCAAAGATGATGCATGAAGCTTACAGCCAGACTGGGTCTTCCATTGAGACATAATGGGAAACAGAAGATTGAATTGTATTGAAAACAGTGGATCCTTCCCTTTGCTCCTTCTTCTTGGGGAAGGGCTGCAGTGGTAGAACATGAACTAGGCATGCTCATGGTCATGGATTCCAGTCATCCTCAGGTAAGACTGGAAGAACTCTTGCCTGAAAAGATGGAGAGACACTGCCATTCAGTGTTAACAATGCTGCATTGATGGATGAAAGGTTTCACTCAGTATAAATTCTCATGTTCTTCTTGCATCCCCAAGATGTCAAATAGGAGTCCAATGAACTGGAAATAAACAATCTTCTCTTCTTTCACCCCACAACCCAACTCAACTCAATGGAATGCATTTCTTTAATCATCACTAGAATTTCACTCCCCTTATGTATCCAGGCTTCCATGGGAAGACATTAAATGGCTTTCTGGTACTGAAAGTAAATATTCTGGTAGAAGCAGCCAAATCAGTCATAAGCACATGTGATGGTGAAGTGCGATGCACATGTTTAATTCCAAAGCTACCCATGGTCATACAACTAGGAAAGCAGATGTGATAGTCCTGATTGCATCCTTGCGAAGGGAGATGGAGGAGGAAATCACAAGGAAAGTATTCAGTCTTCCACCTCCATCTTTCCCTAAGATGCCGGGGCATCTGATTCTGCCCTCTAGTCTCTGATACCTAATCTGTTTTGATATTTGATTGCTCTTGCCTGCCTAGTTTTGTTTCTACAGGTCTCTTCTGTTCTCCTCCCTTCAGCTCAGGGCAGAGCAGCATTGCAAGGAAAACAATTCATCACGGGCTTCATGGAGAATTTTGAGACAAGATCACCCTCCGAAACAAGTCTGAAGCTGCTCCTCACTGGTTACCATAACTCTACCCTGGTAACGGTAACAAAGGTCAGAGCCTCCACCCGGAAAATGGTTTCTGTCCGAGAAGGTGAAGTGCTGGCTGTGCCGGTTCCAGTGACAGCTGAGATGCAAGGCAGCAAAACATTTGATGACTCTATATTGATCCAGGCTGACCATGACATTTCTGTTGTCTCAGTGAACAGGAAGTTATATTCCATTGCAAGCATGACCGTCTACCCCGTCCATGCTCTTGGCACACTGTATTATATCGTAACCCCACTTGGCACAAGGAGAACGAACTACTTAAAAGAATTTGCAGTCATAGCCTGGAAGAATACAGCAACAGTTGAAGTTTTTCTGACTGGGAATGTGATCTTCAAGGGAAGGTCCTATGCATCAGGGAGCAAACTCACTGTTATCCTTGCTGCTTTCCAAGCAGTCCAGCTGCAAAGCTCAGATGACCTGTCTGGCACCAAGATTCAGGCATCAGAACCAGTGGCAGTCTTGACTGGGCACGCTTGCGTCCAGCAGAATTATTATTGTGACCATGTTGCCGAACAGCTCCTGCCTGTCTCCAACTGGGGCACCACCTTCCTTGTTCCCCCCATCTCTGTGCAAAGAAATCCTGATCTTGTGTATGTGATTGCTTCTGAAAGCACTCGCATTCATTACCAGTCAGGGCTACTGAAAAGCTTCCAGGACATGGTTGCTGGGGAAGTCAGCCAGTTTGAGGTCCAGTACCCTGAGGCATTTTATATCTCTGCCAATGAGGCGATTCAGGTCCTTTTGTTCTTCACTGGTGTCAAGATAGGGGACATTGGCTATGACCCATTCCTCATCAACATTCCCCCGATAACAAGCTATGGCCTATCCTACTACATTGATGGAATGGAAAAGTTTGATAACAACGTTGCCATTATAGCAAAGAGCTCTGAAGTCAGTCGTATTACCAGGGACAAATCAACAATCAGAGGCTTTCAGTGGAGAGAGATCCCTGGTTCGCAGTACTCATGGGCCGAATATACGTGGGATGGGACAACTGGAACCAGCTCCCTTAAGCATCCTGACACAAACTTTGGTGTCTTGGTCTTTGGCAGCCGAAACTATGAGGGCTATGGCTTTGCCCCAGCACCTTTTGGCTCATTTGGTAAGTATGCTCACATTGTACATACTGGAAACCAAGACTATGACTCATTTTCTCGTTTTCCAGATGCAATTAATTCTCCTGGGATCTTGGGTTGAAAGGTCAAAAACAGGATCGTAACATTCCCTGCATTCATCCAAGCATCAATATTTATGAATCACTTATTTAAAAGATGGACACAGGGCAAGATGCAAATGCCTGTTAGAAAAAGTGTGCTTTTAGTAGGTGCCAAGATCCTGGTGCCTGATTAGGTTGCAATACGAGGGAGTTCCAGAGTTGGCACTATTCTTAATTTACTTCTAATTTATTGTCTTGCATTATGTTTACCACACTCTATTGCAGTAGGACAGTTTTGGAACAGTGAACAATAAAAGATAATTCAGGCAAATAAAAGCCATGCCTTAACAATAAGATCAGCAAAACTATTTGGGTAAAATTGTAGCTGGTTAGCTCAGTTAGACTTCCTGAAATAGAAATATTTTCAGAAGGTGGCAAAAAGAATGAGTCTGGTTGACCTCCAGTTCCACGGAAAAGGTGCTACTGTTCAAAATTGAACTGCAACTGGGTAACAGGTCTATGCAGAGCCACCAAGAGCATAACATTTGAGGTTGGCAAGGAGAGGGTGTTCTCTCATGTCTCCTGGCCCCAAGTTGCTTAGGCCTTTCTGTACTAGAAAGGAAACTTTAAACTTGCTTTGGCAGCTAATAGGCAGCAAGCGTAATTTCTTGGTCATGAGTTCTTTAAGGATTTGTGAACATGTACCAACATATTTTAAAGGACTCTAAGGCCCAGTCTGGGACAAGGAAATACAAGATGATGGCATATCTCTCAGTTTCAAGCTATCAGCACATCTTTCATCCAATAATAATTTGAGATTATAACAGCTGTCCTGCCTTTAGCATTTGGAAAGTTTATCTGCAAAGTTAGACAGAAATTTCCAAGGGGTCCAAAATAGACATGATGATCAGACACATGAAGGCTTCTGTGGCTTCTGTGATTTCTAGTAGAAGACCTGCCCAGGACACTTAAACCATTCCTTCCTGGTGTGTTTCTTTTCATTTCATTTTGTTTTGTTTCATTTTGCTAAAAATCACCTGCATCATGGAATGAAATGGATGCACCCCTGTCCATACCTGGATCTCTTGGATGGAAAAGTGTCAGCTAGAAAGCAGTCCTCAGACTCTGAAAATAGAATTCTGGTTTTATGCAAACAGCCTGAGACACATACCTCCAAGAAATTACAATAAATAAAAAAGTAGACCACACAATGAATAATTGCTCAGCAAAGAGCATATTGTCAGATACGTCCTCTCTTTCTTTCTTAGTGCTCATCTCCACTGGAGAGAAACCCAGAAGACAGGGTGGTTCCCAAACACCCACTTTTCTGTCCCATCCTGAAAATCTTGAATTTTGCAACATAGCTCCTTGCAACTTACTGCATTGTGTGTGCGGTATCTGAGTTCCTCTGAGATGTGCATGCTCTGAATTGGCATGGCTTTTGAGGATTAAACTGTGAAGGAGTATGATATAGATGCAGTTATCTCCATCAAAACAAACCTCTCATTAGATTAGTGATCCTGAGAAGTCACCTGACCGGTTTTGATCAATATTTCTTCCAGATCCTGCCCCGACCACAAGCCCAATCAAGCTGCTCTGCCCTGAGAACAGCCACTATGAGTCCTGTGGAAGTGCGTGCCCAGCTACTTGCGCTGACCGATTGGCCCCTGCCAGGTGCACCACATCCTGTGTAGAAACCTGCCAGTGTGATGATGGCTACGTCCTCAGTGACGAGAGGTGTGTCCCAGAGGAGAGCTGCAGCTGCACTTACAACGGCCTGACCTACAAGGCAGGGGAGGAGTTCTGGGCCGATGAGGCCTGCCATACTCACTGCAAGTGTGATCCCAAGTCAGGACGGACTTTATGCCTCAGGTCCTCCTGCAAGGACAATAAGAAATGTGTCATGGTCAATGGAGTCCGGGGTTGTCATGTGGTCAGCTACACCACCTGCACAGCCTTTGGGGAGCCACACTATACCACTTTTGATGGAAAGAAATATGATTTCATGGGAACCTGTGTTTATCAGATGGTGGGGCTCTGCACTGAGCACCCCAGCCTCACTCCGTTTTTGGTCTCTGTGGAGAACAACAACCGAGGCAGTAAGGCAGTGTCCTACACCAAGGTGGTGACTCTGGAGGTCTACAACATGACCATCAGCCTGAGCCAGGAGTACCCAAAGAAGATCCAGGTACAAGTATTGAGCAATGTGAATGTTTGGGAACATGAAATCTGTGAGAGGACTAGCTAGTGTGCCACTCCTCAAGACCAGAGGGAGTTACTTCTATGATATAAGGGAATTTGTTCAATTTGTTTGGTGTTAAAACTCCCATGCATACCTTATGAGCAGAATTAGATCTCTGGGGCAGATCTCTGGTGATCTCAGTTGAACACTGAGAAGATCTTGTGAGAAAGATAGAATCTAAGGTGCAAGAAACTCAGAGGTGAAGTAGATGAAGAATAAATGTAGGATGGTATAGAATAAGAGGTGTAAAGCAAAAGAAGGTTAGGGCATCTTTGCTTCCCTGAGCAGCATTCCAGCTCTGCTAATCCATGTCAGAAACTTTGCCACTAAGTACAAATGTGTGCAAACAAAGCCAAAAGCCCTCTTTCATTTCAGCAGGAAATCAATATGTGGGAATAATGGGCAACTTTACAGGTAGTGAAGAGGGAGGTGTAAGGAAAAGAGTAAAGGGACCAGGGAAGTAAGGACCAAGAAAAGAGAGCACCAAGGAGAGACCTTAGGGTCCAGAAACTAGGCATGATAGGGAGGGAAGGAGGGAAGGAGACTCGACATGGGACAGGATCTGTGAAGGGACAATGCAGCTGGCCATTTGAAAAGCAAGGACCCAAAGAAACACTGCACAATAGAGAGATGGAAATGAAAAACAAGCAGTCAAGGAGAAAATGGGTCTCTGAAAATTTCATGTAGGACTGATAGGCAGGAGAGTCTGAGCTCCACTTGCATAAAGGAAATAAGCAGGAGAGCAGGAGAAACTAGATCCATGGGCTATACAGTCAAGGAAACATAAGTTTGCTTGTTGTTGTTGTTAGTCACGAAGTCATGCCTGACCAATCGCGATCCCATGGACAACATTCCTCCAGGCCTTCCTGTCCTCTACCATCCCCCGGAGTCCACTTAAGCTCACACCAACTGCTTCAGTGACTCCATCCAGCCACCTCATTCTCTGCCATCCGGACCCTTCTTCTTTTGCCATCTATTCTTCCCAGCATTAGACTCTTCTCCAGGGAGTCCTTCCTTCTCATTAGGTGGCCAAATTATTTGAGTTTCATCTTCAGCATCTGGCCTTCTAAAGAGCAGTCAGGGTTGATCTCCTCTAGGACTGATCAGTTTGATCGCCTTGCAGTCCAAGGGACTCGCAGGAGTTTCCTCCAGCACCACAATTCAAAGGCCTCAATCCTTTTGCACTCAACCTTCCTTATGGTCCAGCTTTCACAGCCATACATTGCAACTGGGAAAACCATAGCCTTGACTATACGCACTTTTGTTGGCAGGGTGATGTCTCTGCTTTTTAGTATGCTGTCTAGATTTGCCATAGCTTTCCTCCCCGGGAGCAAGCATCTTTTAATTTCTTGGCTGCAGTCCCCATCTGCGGTGATCTTGGAGCCCAGGAAAATAAAATCTGTCCCTACCTCCATTTCTTCCCCATCTATTTGCCAGGAAGTGAGAGGACCGGATGCCATGATCTTACTTTTCTTAATGTTGAGTTTCAAGCCAACTTTTGTGCTCTCCTCCTTCTCCTGCATCAAGAGGCTCTTTAGTTCCTCTCCACTTTCTGCCATGAGAGTGTTATCATCTGCATATCTGAGGTTGTTGATATTTCTCCCAGCAATCTTAATTCCAACTGGTGATTCATCTAGCCCCACCTTTCTCATGATGTGTTCTGCATATAAGTTAAATAGACAGGGCGACAGTATACAGCCTTGCCAAACTCCTTTCTCAATTTTGAACCAATCAGTGGTTCCGTGTCCAGTTCTCACTGTTACTTCTTGACCTGCATATAGGTTTCTCAAGAGACATATAAGATGGTCTGGTACTCCCATCTCTTTAAGAACTTGCCACAATTTTTTGTGATCCACACAATCAAAGGCTTTAGCATAGTCAATGAAGCAGAAGTAGATGTTTTTCTGGAACTCCCTAGCTTTCTCCATGATCCAGCGTATGTTGGCAATTTTATCTCTAGTTCCTCTCCCTCTTCGAAATCCTGCCTGTACTTCTGGTACTTATCGGTCCACATACTGCTGTAGGGTTTTGAACATAACTTTGCTAGCATGTGAAATGAGTGCAATGGTGCAGTAGTTTGAACATTCTTTGGCATTGCCCTTCTTTGGGATCGGAATGTAAACTGACCTTTTCCAATGCTGTGGCCACTATTGAGTTTTCCAAATTTGCTGGCATATTGAGTGTAGCACTTTTACTGCATCGTCTTTTAGGATTTTGAATAGCTCAGCTGTAATACTGTCACCTCCACTAGCTTTGTTGTTGCTCAGACTTCCTAAGGCCCATTTGACTTCATATTCCAGGATGTCTGTCTCGGGGTCAGTGACCACCCCTTCGTGGTTATCAGGGACGTTAAGCTCTTTCTTGTACAGTTCTTCTGTGTAATCTTGCCACCTCTTCTTAATTTCTTCTGCCTCTGTTAGGTCCCTGCCATTTTGGTCCTTTATCATGCCCATCTTTGCATGAAACATTCCCTTCATATCTCCAATTTTCTTGAAGAGATCTCTGGTCCTCCCTCTTCTATTGTTTTCTTCTATTTCTTTGCACTGTTCATTTAAGAAGGCTTTCTTATCTCTTCTAGCTATTCTCTGGAATTCTGCATTCAGTTGTTTGTATCTTTCTCTTTCTCCCTTGCCTTTCGCTTCCCTTCTTTCCTCAGCTATTTGTAAAGCTTCCTCAGACAGCCATTTTGCTTTCTTGCATTTCTTTTTCTTTGGGTTAGCTTCAGTTGCTGCTTCTTGTACGATGTTGTGAACCTCCGTCCATAGTTCTTCAGGCACTCTATCAGATCTAATTCCTTAAATCTATTTGTCACCTCTACTGTATATTCATCAGGGATATGATGTAGGTCTTACATGAATGGCCTAGTGCTTTTCCCTACTTTCTTCAACTTAAGCCTAAATTTTGCAACCAGAAGCTCATGATCTGAGCTACAGTCAGCTCCTGGTCTAGTTTTTACTGACTGTATAGAGCTTCTCCATCTTTGGCTGCAGTGCACATAGTCAATCTGATTTCTGTGTTGACCGTCTGGTCTGATGTCCATGTGTAGAGTCGTCCCTTGGGTTGTTGGAAAAGAGTGTTTGCTATGACCGTCGTATTCTCTTGACAAAATTCTACCAGCCTGTGTCCTGCTTCATTTTGTACTCCAAGGCCCAACCTGCCTGTTATTCCAGTTATCTTTTGGCTTCCTACTTTAGGATTCCAATCCCCCATGATGATAAGGACATCATTTTTTGGAGTTAATTCTAGAAGGTGTTGTAGGCCTTCATAGAACTGGTCAACTTCAGCCTCTTCAGGACCAGTGGCTGGGGCATAGACTTGGATTATTGTGATGTTGAATGGATTGCCTTGGATTCGAACTGAGATCATTCTGTCATTTTGGAAATTGTATCCCAGTACTGCTTTTCCTACTCTTTTATTGACTATGAAGGCTACTCCATTTCTTCTGAGGGATTCTTCCCGCAGTAGTATACCTGATGGTCATCTGAATTAAATTCTCCCATTCCTGTCCATTTTAGTTCACTGATTCCTAAGATATTGATGTTCAGTCTTGTCATCTCTTGTTTGACCACATCCAACTTGCCTTGATTCATGGATCTTACATTCCAGGTTTCTATGGAGTATAGATCTTTGCAGCAGCGGACTCTCCTTTCACCACCAGATACATTGGCAATTGAGTGTCCTTTCGGCTTTGACCCAGTCGCTTCATTCTTTCTGGTACTACTAGTACTAGCCCTCTTCCCCAGTAGCATATTGGACACCTTCTGACCTGAGGGGCTCATCTTCTAACATCATATCTTTTTGCCTTTTGGTACTGTCCATGGGGTTTTCATGGCAAGGGTACTGGAGTGGGTTGCCATTTCCTTCTCCAGTGGATCATGTTTTGTCAGAGCTCTCTGCTATGACCTGTCCATCTTGGGTGACCCTGCACGGCATAGCTCATAGCTTCATTGAGTTATGCAAGCCCCTTCGCCACAACAAGGCAGTGATCCATGAAGGAGAAGTTTGCTTGTAGTGGAGTTTAATCTATGAGAAGGCCTTTTTCACCTTCTCAGAAGTAGAGGAAGTCTCTCCCAGTTTATTATTATGCTTGTAAGCTGCCCAGTAACCCAAGCCAGGAGAGGATACCATAGATAACTTTGGAAAAGAGGCTGCCAAATGCTTCTGAAAAGCAATGGAAAGTAGATGCTTTATCTTCATAGGACAAACTCATTGCTGACAAGCGGCAAGCAATCCTATCCAGCTTGGGCCACCAGAGTTCAATAAATCTGATAAGGCAACTCATTTTTATTTATTTTATTTATTTATTAAAACATTTTTATGCCGCCCCATTCACCGAAGCCTCGGGGCGGCTCACATCATTTTCTGTGAACTGTTCTGCTACTAATTATAACCAAACTGAATCCTTGGTTCTGAACTCCCTGAAAGCTTTTGAAGGCATCTGCTATATGTTTTCCAGGTCAATGGAATCTCTACAGATCTGCCATTCTACTATGAAAATAAATTGAAAGCTGGCATCATTGGAGTTTATGGCTTCATTAAGACAGACTTCGATGTGAGAGTCAGTTTTGACTGGCACAGTCATGCCCGGGTCACAGTTCCGGACATTTATGCTGATTCTGTGTGTGGACTCTGTGGCAACGCCAACCACGACTCCAGTGATGACTTTGAGACACGGGATGGTGGTCCAGCAACAGATATAGTACAGTTTGCAAATAGCTGGAAGCTGAGGGAGGTCCCAGGTTGCTCAGCAGGATGTGGCAACAATTGCCCAGTGTGCAGTCCAGTAGATGAGCTCATGTACAAAGGTGCAGGTTACTGCGGGATTCTCATCCAAAAGAATGGGCCATTCAGGCAATGCCATGCAGTCATTGACCCAACATACTACTTTGATGACTGTGTCTTTGATACTTGCTTGAACAGGGGTCACCGGGACAACCTCTGTAAAGCCATCGGTGCCTATGTGACGGACTGCCAGGCTCAGGGCATCCAGATTGGGGAGTGGAGACTATCCACATTTTGCAGTAAGTGTTGCTTGCTAAATCTGCTTGAATATTAGGGCCACCCTCACCCTGATTTAATTTTGATTTTTAATCTGGTGGGGGTTCCAGTGTCTTGCATAAAATGTGAACTTTCAGTAAGAATTATTGTTTGCCACACAGAAATATACCTGAGACTTCTATGTATAGGACAGGATAATACATACATACATACTTACCACAAGGATAGGGAACATGTGATCCTCTGGGTGTAGTTGGACTGCAATTTCATAATCAGTCTTGAAGACTGGCAGGTGTTGCCATCTTACAACTGAAGGACCACAACCTGCCCAATATTGCTATTTAGGGTTGGTTCCTGAGTCTGTAATGGCACCCCAGTGTTAATATCATGCTCACTTTCATTTTTATACACCCCAAATCTCCTTGAGGTATGAGTGCAAAAATGCAGAATGTTGCAAAACTTTTCATCTGAATTGCTCCATAAACATAAAGTAGCAATTGCAGCATTAGAGTTTGCACCATATTGGAGTCACTTAGATGCACAGCACCTTGAATGTTTCATTCTCACCCCTAGCACTGGACACAAATAGACTCACAAACATACACTGACAGGGATCTAGATGATTCCAGGCTTAGTACCCAATAAAAGGAACCTTCTAGTGACTGGATGAACAGCAATTATTTGCTTAATCGTGCTTGCATCCATCTGAAGAAAAAGCACACTGTTTTTAGAAGATGCACGTCCTGCCAGAGAAACCACTTCCATAACAGAGACATTCTCTCTCTGGCTAGAGCAGGGGGGGAGCACCAGTTTCAGCCTGAGTGATGTTTTCATTTCAGAGAAGCCCTTAAAGGCCCCAGAGAAGCTTTTAGGAGTGAGTGGGGCCAAAGGCAAATGGCATAGGCCACCAAAACACCTGCATATTACAGATCTTACTGTCAATAGCTAAGACTCAGGAAGGGCTTTTCAATCTTTTGGGATGGGGACAAACCCATGCAAAAGGCAAGAACCTCCAGCTAAGTGGCTGTAAAGGGAAAGGGGCGAGGCCAGGAGAAGGAGGTGGGCTGTATGAGGAACCCTGGAGGAAAAGATTTTGCCCAAGGGCTGAGGTTCTACACCACTGAGAGAGGACAAAGAAGGTGCAAGCTGACTCTGTCCATGCCTCATTTGTCCGATACAGCTACTTCAGAGATGTCTTTTCCACATCTGAGGAAGCAGATGCAGTACTAGGCCAACTGACTTGAAATACATGAGATATATTTCCTAATAAACACTTTTAGGATGGGACTTAGAAATCATAATACCAACCTTGCAAATATTATATTTGGTGAGAAATACAAACTCTCACCAAGAGAAATGTGCATAGAAGAGTGTAAGCCCACCCACCCCTCTGAATGCAAAACAAGGTGTCTTGATGGTAATATCTATTCAGTGTTCCTGCAAAGGTCAGAGAAATTCTCCTCACTCTTCTCTTCCAGCTTTTCCTTGTCCCCTTAATTCCCACTATGAAATCTGTGGAAGTGGCTGCCCCGCTACCTGTAATCAGCTTTCGGCATCAGAAACGTGTGAGAGTCCCTGTGTGGAAGGCTGTTTCTGTGACTCCGGATTCATCCGCAGTGGGGATGAGTGTGTCCTTCTTACTGAGTGCGGCTGCATGCATGAGGGCAGATACTACAAGAAGGGAGAGGAGTTCATTCCCACCTCCTCTTGCCAGGAGACATGCCAATGCACTGACATTGGCGCCATCAAGTGCCAGCAGTTCTCCTGCGGACCACATGAGGAGTGCAAGGTGCAGAATGGCATCCAGGCCTGCTACCCTCTGGGATATGGAACAGCTGAAACATTCGGCAATCTCCATTATATTTCCTTTGATGGACGGAGTTTTGACTTCCGTGGCTCTGGCATGTACACCTTTGTCAATGTATCTAGCAAGGATACCCAGGGGATGAGGTTCTCTGTGCTGGTGGAATATGAGAAGCAGGATGATGGCATCATTCTACTGAAGTCTGTTGTGGTCTACATTAATGGACATACAGTTGTCATGCACAGAGGAATGAAAGGGAAAGTTATGGTATGTAGGGATGGATTAATTGGTCATATTTATTTCTGTTCAATTTCTCATTTTTCCAAGTTTGTTCAGTCTGATCTCTCATTATTGTTTTAAGGTCCACATGACATTGATATACTTTCTCTTAAAATACATCTTTTCTCTGCAAATGATATCTTCATATTTAATGCACATGTTGAGTATTTTTCCTTAATATGCCCATTTTGGTTATCCTGATACATGCATTTTTCTATGTATCAAGTGCATTACAACTTTAGAAACCCACAAATACAGTTATGCAACCAGATTCCAATTTCCCCTCATCCCAAATTGTATGTGCCCATCATGTTTAACACCTTTCTGTGGAACACTGGTTTGCAAATAGCATTTGCACACGTGCATGAATATGTGTCTATGTCTGTGCTTGCCTGTGTAAGTGAGAAGACCTAATACCCCATTAATATTCTTTATTCTTTTGCTGTTGGCGTTGATATAGCTGGATGGAGAATTTTACTATTTGCCACTCAACAGCAATGATAGGAAATCATCCACAGCGGAGAAATTTTCTGGTTTCCAGATCATCCAAGAAGGATCAGGAATAACTATGAGCTTACTTTCTGGTCTGACTATCTTTTATGATACCACCTCATATCTCAGAATAACTCTTCCCCTTGGTCTTGAGGAACAAGTGAATGGTCTTGGTGGCAACTTCAATAATGACATCAGTGATGATTTCATGATGCCCAATGGAACTTTGACCGAAAATGTGAAAGAGTTTGGAGCCTCATGGAATGTCCCTGTTGCTGGAGTCAGTTGTGCTGATGGATGTGTTGAGGAACTCCCTGAATATAATGCAGACCAGGCAATAATATATGGGGACAAGACTTCCTGTGGAATGATTAAGTCTGAGGCAGGCCCATTCAGTGACTGTCACTCATTGGTCAGCCCTGCTGTGTACTTTGAGAACTGTCTGTATGATATGTATGCAGCCAAGGGGGCACAAGATTCCATCTGCCAGAGCCTTCAAGCCTATGTAGCCGCGTGCCAAGCAGCTGAAGCAAAGATAATGCATTGGAGAACAGCCTCATTCTGTCGTAAGTCTTCTCTACTTTTCTCAAAAAGGGCTTCCCCAAGCAAGTGATCAGAGCAGATGGCTGAGCTATGCTGCCTAGGTCCCTGGTCACCGAAGCTACAATGGGCAAAATTCCTCTCCTACGCTACCCCTAAAGGTGCCACAACAATATTAGGGACTAGATTCTATATCTAGAAACCCCGCAACCTCTTTACCCTCTAGTCCACAATTTGCAGCTCTTTATAGTATAGTATTCTGCATAGCATGCATGTCTAGCATTCTGTTTCTGAACATTGGAGTGTGAACTTCTCAATTTGCCCATACCTCTGTCTTGAATTTACCCTAAACACTATTCCGTTGTATTTGGGGCATGATTGAGATAACATCATAAGGCCGGCTATGGTGCTTTCTTGACACATGTGTCAGAAAAAGAGAAATAGAATCACACTCAATATGAATGTAAGAATGAATAGCAACTATTTTTTTTAAAGTACAGTTCTTTTCATTGGGATGAATGCAATGCCAAGTATTAGAAAGTCCTGTGCTATATTTCTCTGAAATGGGAGTGGGGGAAGACACCCTGCCATGGTGACATTTTGTACAATCCAGCTTGGGGACGTTAGGAACGTGTGGGCTAAGCTTCACTTTGCTGGCTTCATCTTCACCTTCACCCTCTTCACCATCTCCACCCAGCCCTCACCTGCCCAGCTAACAGCCACTACGAGCCATGCGCCAAACTTTGTGACTTCACCTGTGCCAGTTTGTACACTCCGGTCCATTGCAGAAAGAATTGCTTTGAGGGCTGCCAGTGCAATGATGGCTACATGTTTGACGGAGATGTCTGTGTGCCGATAGACAAATGTGGCTGCGTGCGGGATGGTGTCTACATTGCGGTAAGACTTAGCAACTGGGTCCCCACTATGATATTCCCACTTGTTTCAGCTGGGGCAGATGGTGTACCTAGATTTTACATAAGCTGCTTTGCAGAAATGTTTTGCTGCGGCAGCCACACATGCATCTTTTAAATCCACTGATTTAAAAGCAGGAAAAGAAGGAAATGTCTTTTATAAAGTTCATATTTTTCTCCAATTGTCTCAACCATAAACTTTTGCTGGGAATTTCCCAACAGGCTGGAAACAGCGTCCTTTCAAGGAACTGCACAGAGCAATGCACCTGTAGGGCTTCCAACCAAGTCACCTGTGAGGAGACCAGCTGCCAGGACAACGAGATCTGTGGGCTTAGGAATGGAGTGCGCAACTGTGAGCGCAAGGAAGGAGAGTGCAAACTCTCAGCAGAGGGCCAGCTCACTTCCTTTGACGGTGCCTCAGGAAAGTACCTCTGCAGTGGAGTTTATGACATTGCCTCCGTATGCGATGAAAATGCCGCCAGCTGGTTCAGGGTGGCAGTGAGCATTGGACAGGATTGTGACGATGAGCTGGCAGCTGGGAAAGCCGTATATGTTTATTTCCGGGAAGCCTCCATCACTGTGAAAAAGAATAATAAGATATGGGTAAGGGAATGTCAGAAAGAGCAGCACGGGAGGTTCCTAAGTCCACCGGTAAAACTCAGCATGCATCTATTTTTAAAGACATGTTTCATCTGCAAGGCACTTTAAGCTTTGGTTTGCTTAAGTCAGAGTCAATAGTCGTTGTTGCTGCACTGGGACTCAGGAGATCCATGTGAGGAAAGCCACGCTGGAGCCCTGTCTTTTTCTGGAGGAGCCCCAACTGTGCTTTCATTGCAGGAGGAGCATGTGCTAATAAACACATCATAGTTCCTGTCGCACTGGGAACATGATTCCACAACTCTTGTAGAAGTAGGAGGAGATGGAAAGGAAAAACATGCAAGCAAATGGTCCCTTTTGATGCTCTTTTGTTGTACTCATCCAGTGAGCAATATGCAAGTTCACCTTTTTTAAAGTAATCATTAATTGACAGCTCCTGCTGCCCCTTCACATATAAATGATGGGGGGAGGGGGAGAGGAGAAGTGGGGAGAAAAAAGAGGGGAGGCTCTGATGCTGTTCGCTACCATCTTCCCACCTCCCAGGGTGTAAAGCCAGGGGGTTCATCAATCATGTTCCCCACATTCTTTACTCAACAGGTCACCCCATGCCCTAATCTTTCTGTGTTCCAGATAAATGGACTCTCAGTAAAGCTACCACAGAAAGTCTCCAAAGCTGTGTCTGTGAGAAAGGTCGTGGATGGAATCCTGATTGACCAGGCCTCTGAGATGCAGGTCCACATTCGTCCTGATGGGCAGGTGACAGTGAAAGTCCAGGTGGCCCTTGCAGGGAAACTCTGTGCCCCATGTGGAAACTTCAATGGGGATCATTCGGATGACCTGAAGCTACCCAGTGGGAAGTCTGTGAAGAATACTGCTGAGGTCCTTCTTGCTTGGAAGGCCAAGGACTTCTAACATGAGTAAGTTGCCCCTTCTACTATTGCAACTGAAGAACTGAAGAGCCATTCATTTAAAAACTCTTGTGTGGCCTGGAGATTACAGCTTACAGGGAGGGCATGTATTCATGTTTTCATGGGGGGCAGGGTCTTTTTATTGCATTTTTAGTCTGTCCATTTAATTTTGAAGAGAAGGCAAGTCCTAACAAAAATGTGTTCTTGATACACAGAGAGGCCAAACATCAAACATTTCCTCAAGACTGTTAATTGGCCTCCAAGGTGCTAGCTATTTGCCATAAAGAGTGCCTTGGAGGGCAAACAGCAGCTGGGAAAGAATAGACCTCAGGGGTGGGCTCCCAACAATTATCCCCGCAAAAGAAAATTCATGGCTGATTGCTCCAAAAATGGTTTTCTGAGCAATGTCCATCCTGAACCTGGATACAATCTAGGTGTGGCTTCCAATCCAGTTGGACTGGAGAAGGATATAAATGATGAAGCCAAAGTCCATCTTCGCAGCAGAGGTCATCAGAAGCTCAGTGCAGCTGTGAACCCCTGAGCATGGCCTTTCCTTCCTTAATCTATAGGAATGTTTCCCATGTTTACCCTCCTCTTATGAGTTGGATCAAGTTGTCTTCAACCTCTTTCAACTGAATGGCCAAAATCCTTTTTGAAGAAGCTTCCATGCTGCGCTGCATCAAAGGCCAAAGGAGGAGAGAGTAAAGGGATCAGGGCATGACACAATGCCAGTGTATTTTAGCGTAAAATGTTTTTAGCTCTTCCTGCCTGTAACAAAGTCTTAGGACAGACATTTTAACCTTTTGGCATTGGGAAAACACTGCACAAAGCCAGGAAGCCACTAAGGGATTGTGAGAAAGGGTCAGGGAGAGAAGGGTGGGTTGGATCCTTCTCAGAGAGAAGATTGGACCCCAGGAGGGGCAGATCAGGACCTCAGGCCTGAGGTTCTGAACCTCTGGTTTGGATGTTGCTTTAGTTTAATTGAAGATATATAGTTATACAATTAGTATAGGAGGAAGCTGCTCTATATCCTGGTCCTAGTCATGTTTATTCAGTCATGATTCACAGTTATTCAGACTTGCTTCCAAGTATGCATGCTTAGGTTGCCTCCATGGTTCTACCAGCAGCATCAGGAGGTTTGCGGGATCAGGCTGTAAGTCTTTTTTTATCTTCCTTTCCTAGTGACCTCTAAAACCACAGCAGCTGCAAACCCTTCGCTGCCCACTGTCCTCCCCAGGCAAGGCATCTACCTTCTATCCCCAATCACAAAGGATTGTACAGAAGCAGATTCCAGGACCTTTGCTTTGTTCTGCAAGTGAGAAGGATCTTGGAATTGTTGTAGGTCACAAGCTGAACATGATTCAACAATGTGATGTGGCTGCAAAAAGGGCAAATGCTATTTTAGACCACACTAATAGAACCATCTCTTCCAAATCCTGTGAAATCCTAGTTCCCCTTTATTCAGCACTGGTTAGGCCTCATCTGGAGTACTGCATCCAGTTCTGGGCACCACAGTTTAAGAAAAATGCAGACAAGCTGAAAAAGGTTCAGAGGGCAACAAGGATGATCCAGGGACTGGAAATAGGGCCTTGTGATGAGAGAGAGAAAGAACTGGGCATGCTTATCTACAAGAATAGAGGCTAAGGGGAGATGTGATAGCACCTTGCAAGTACTTCACACAAAGGAAGTGCAGGATCTGTTCTTGATCATCCCAGAGTGCAGAGCATGGAATAATGGGCTTAAGCCACAGGAAATCAGATTCTGACTAGATTTCAGGGAAAATCTCCCGCCTTTTAGAGTAGTACAACAATGACCTAGGGAAGCTGCTGGCTCTCCCACACCAGAGGCATTCACGATGCAACTGGACAGACATCTGAGAGGGATGGTTTAACTTGGTGTCCTGCAAGGAGCAGGGGGTTAGAGCTGGTGGCCTTCTGGCCCCTTCCATTCCAATGTTCTGTGATTTTATAATTCAAAATTCTCCAATTGCTTACCAAAGAGCTGCCAAGTTGAACTGATGCTTTGTCCCAAGCCTGCATCGTTTTGGAACATTTAGGTGATATCACGCCCAGTAGCATCTTTCTGAACATGCAGATTGAAGGATGAATGTCACAGCCAAGAAAAAGAAGTCAGAGAGCCTGAAGCCATCTGCTAACTGCACAGAGGCCTATCCATGTGCCATGCCATCCAGAAGTCCCCAGGAATTTCACTTGCTGCGCTTCATTTTCAGCAAAAATGACTCACTACTGCTAATGTCCCTGTCAAGCAATGGAAGTAATAAAATTAAAGCTAGCTGTCAGTCCTGAGTTTTGATTGATGCACTTGATATCCTTGTCCAGTTTGCTCATTGATGATCTGCGTACATCTGTCTTTGACTATCAATAATAGGAGAGGATGTCTGTCTGTCCACCTGTCCACCTGCCAGTGCCATATTGCCAAGACCCTGAAACTTTGTAACCTGAAACATGGCAGGCATACCATGGGAGCCAGGAGGCTGGCATATCAGGGTATTTTTTAAAAAAAACCACACATTCATCCATTTGCATTAATTGAAATGTAACTGAAGTCTGTGGTAACATCTTCAGCTACTACCAGTCTTCCCTAATCAGCACCTGGCTTTGTAGCCCATGCAGTATGGAGCCAGGGAGGAAGCACAGGCTATGGGACAGACATTCAAACCAGTCTCGGTGCCCTGGCAAGGCCCCCATTGGGGGAACAGTGTGGTCAGGCTATAGGGATTGCATCAGGAAAGGGGCCATGCCCAGCAAGCATCGCCTCACTCAGGGTGAACACAATCCAACAGTTGTGTCGGTTTGCTTGAAGCAATCGCCTGTGCCATTCAAACCAGAAATATAACATGGGAAGGAAGCGCGAACCATTTCCCACCACAGTGCCTCTGCTCTGATTTGCACATCCTGCCAGCTGCTTTTACCTGCGGGGACGGGGAGCCACATAGTTGGCCCTCTAGAGGAGATCATTTGGATCTGGAGAATCAGGCAGGGATGCATTTGCGCAGTGGGTTGTCCCCACCAACAGCTTTGGTTGGGCATCAACCCACGCACCACTTTCCCCATAGATTGCTCATGAGACACACATTGGTGCTCCGACAGTTCTTGCCTTGGTTGGGAAAGTCCAAATAAATCCTCAAATAAAAAGATATGTTTTTGCGTGCCCTGTAACACGAAATCTGCCCTTGCTCCACTCCACTCAAAGGGACTAGAACTTTATCCAGTTCCACACACCTGGGAAAAGCAGGCAGCCCTGGGAACCCTATAAAAACCACACCATTTTAAACCTGCTAGATTTGTGTAACTCCTAACTGTTTTATTTGTTATCTATTAACCAAGCCTTCAGTGGGTCATTATGTTTTTTCCCTGATGCCTATAATCATTCCTCAATGTTTCTGTATTATTCCCCATTGTCCTTGCCTTCTCACCCATTCAGAATCTCATCACTGCCTTGAAACTGTGTACATGACCTACAACTTATAAAAAACTCTGCCTGTGCTGGGTTGGTGGCCATACCTCTACCTGACAACTCTATTGTAGGTTTGTCTCTGCAAAGGGGTTTTCCTGGGTTGTTCTCACCAATAAAGCTGCTGAGGTTCGAGGCAACAACGTCTCTTTACGGATGCAAGAGTTCATTCCCCAGGGCTGCTAATTTCCTGATACTTTCAACAGGACCCTGCAGCAACTTCCCAGTACTCTGGTGATGGACAAAAAGCACTGTAAGCACAACTGTTGTGTTTATTTAATGACCAGTGTGTCTGCTCAATTTGTCACTTGGGTGCTGAATGTGAATGGGCAAGCTCATGGCCACCTCGCTCACTTCTTGTCCTGCTTTATCTTTAAACGAGATGTGGGCTGGACAGATCTTCAGAGGATGGTTTTAAGTAGAAGCCTGTCCTCTCTGAAGGAAGACACTCTGAGGGTTGCTTGTGCTTCGCCAAAACAGAAGGAACCCTTGGAAAGGACCAAAGAAGACTCTGATTTGCACAAGATGAATATATGTAACTTTATATTTATAGCTGCTTCTGTAAACATATTGTTGTTACATGCTGCCGAGTCATCTCTGATCTATGGCAGCCCTATGAATGAAGGCCTTCCAAAATGTTCTGCCCGTGACAGTCCCGCTCAGCTTTTGTAAATGAAAGGCTGTGGTTTGTTTCCTTTATGGGATTTTTGCTTCCAGGGAGAGCTTTGGCTTGATTTGATCTCGGACCCACTTGTTCATCGTTCTGTCAGTCCATAGACCTTGCAAAGCTCTCCTCCAGCAAAATGTAAGCATAAAAATACAATATGAACAGAAATGCAAGATTCCACTCCATGGTGCAGAAGGGTGACCAGCATGCTCCATCAGTTCAGGGGCACACTGTGGGTGGGCAAGTACCCAGCCCCTTCTGACTGCTTTCTCTCCTTATAGCTCTGTATGACTTTAAACTAGACTTGGGCTCAACTGCCCATTAAGCAAAGGATGCCTTCAAAGAGAGGACTGTCCCTGCCAGCCCTCTAACCTAGAGGACCACTATCTGACCACCCTAGTAGATCCTTCTGGGGCAGCTAGAATAGCTTTCTGGAGCATGAAGAGTGACAAGAGTGATTCAAGGTCAGTTTCACTTTCTGTTTTCAGTTAGAAAAGAAGAAGGAAGAAAGAAAAACCCAAAGGTCAAATTCTTGTTAGGGACTTGAAGATAAATTTGCCTGTCAATGGATTCCACAACTTATCCCGTTTTCATCTAAACAACTAGCAAAGCCAAGAATGTTTCAGCTTCTACCCTTTTCTCTGTAACTAAGTATACTGGCGGAGAAGAGCTTGCCAAGTTCTTCAGTCTGATGGCGCCAGCTTGATGTGTCTGTAAAACAAAGGGACTTTTGATGCATATGGGGCTTATTTATTCATTACAATTATATCCCAGCTTTTTTACTGCATGAAACTCATGGTGCCTTAAACAATTCTCTTCCTCCTTTCCATTTTATCTTCACACAAACCCTGTGAAGTGGGAGAACCTAAAACTTAGTGTCTGGCCCAAAGGCAGCCCATGAGCTTCATGGCTGGGTGCATATGACAGCCCAGACTTCCCAGGAGCCGGTCCAGTGCTCCAACCATTGTGCCACACCAGCTCTCCTGTTGACAAACCAAAACCATGAGTTAAAGGGCACTTAGCATAACCATAGTGCCCATTTTCCCTGTGCTCATTTCCTTTGACTCTGATAACATGGAAGGCTGGATAAGACGCAGCTCTCAGCAAGGGTGTGGCCAGGCATCTGCCAAAGGACTACATGCCAAGAGGGTTCCACTGACAAATGCCTCCTTGAGTTGCTTCCTTCAGGTGAGGAAGATGCCACTGCTTACCTTCTCTTTGATGGTAACAGCCAGAAGTAACTGATTGGAAATAACAGTAACAGTGCTGGTTAGGTAGAAGACTCACTGCGGAAGGGCAGCCCACTGAGGGTGTCTTGTCCAGAGGCCTCCCAAAATCTAGAGCGAGTGCAAGGTGAAGGCAATAGTGTGATGAGCAAACGCACTCCCCATGTGCTCAGGTGAGTTCTGCTTTACACCGGCTGCTGGCAAGAAGGCTCTGTCTAAGGAAGTGGGTCTGCCTGGGTCTCAGCCTCTCTTTCCCAGGCTGCCGCTTGGATGCATTCCACCACAGTTCACTATTTATTTATTTATTTATTTATTTATTTAAAACATTTCTATGCCCCCCCCATCGCAACAAAGCCTCGGGGCGGCTCACAACACATAAATAAATACAGAAGTAATAAAATAAATAAATACTAAATTATACAATAAATAACACCCCCAGTGCATTCTTGGATAATTAAAAAAAATCCCTAGTTAATAAATAATTAACTGTTAAAATAAGTTTTAAATAAAAAGGTCTTAGCCTGGTGCTGAAAAACAAATAATGTCAGTGTCAGGCAGACCTCTCTGGGGAGCGCATTCCATAGATGGGGCACCACTGCAGAGAAAGCCCTCCTCTGGGTGCTCACCCTCCTAATCTCATTCACAGAGGGTTCCCAGAGAAGGGCATCTGCTGCTGACCTAAAGGGGCGGGAGGGCATATATGGGTGCAAGCGTTCCTTTAGATAACCAGATCCCAAGCCGTTTAGGGCTTTATAGGTCATAACCAACACCTTGAATTGGGCCCTGACTTCAATCGGGAGCCAGTGGAGCTGACAGAGAATTGGGGTTATATGAGAACAACGCCCAGTTCCCGTCAGCAACCTGGCAGCTCTATTCTGCACCAATTGAAGTATCCGGACCGTCTTCAAGGGTAGCCCCACGTAGAGCGCTTTACAGAAATCTAATCAGGAAGTTACCAGCGTGTGTGTCACTGTCACCAGGCAGTCATGCTCTAGGAAGGGATGCAGCTGATGTATCAGCTGAAGCTGAAGGAAGGTGCTCCTCACCACCACCATCACCTGAGCTTCCAAAGACAGCTCAGCGTCGAGAAGCACTCCTAAGCTGCGAACCTTGTCCCTCAGAGGGAGTGCAACCCCATTTAGGACAAGGCCCAAGTCCCCCATCCCGAGGTCTGATCTGCCCACCAACAGGACCTCCGTCTTGTCTGGATTGAGCTTCAGTTTATTGGCCCTCATCCAGCCCATTACCTCGGCCAGGCACTGGTTCAGCACAGCCACTGCCTCACCTGGGTTGGTGGAAAACGAGAGGTAGAGCTGGGTATCATCAGCGTACTGATGATTCTGCAGCCCACACCTCCTGACCCAGCGGTTTCATGTAGATGTTAAAAAGCAAAGGGAACAAAACGGACCCCTGCAGAACTCCATGGCATAACTGCCATGGCACAGAGCCATAGTCCCCCAGCACCACCTTCTAAAATCGGCTATTGAGATAGGAGCGGAACCACCGCCAAGCGATGCCTCCAACTCCCAATCCCACCAGCCTATTCAGAAGGATACCATGGTCGATGGTATCGAAAGCTGCTGAGAGGTCCAGGAGAACTAACAGGGACACACTCCCCCTGTCTCTCTCCCTGAACAGGTCATCATACAGGGCAACCAAGGCAGATTCAGTGCCATACCCGGGTCTGAAGCTGGACTGAAATGGGACCAGATAATCAGTTTCATCCAAGAGTGCTTGGAGTTGTCCCGCCACCACCCACTCTAGCACCTTGCCCAGGAATGGGAGGTTGGCCACCGGCCTATAATTGGCGGCCACCTCTGGATCCAGGGATGCCTTCTTTAGGACTGGCCAGACTACCACCTCCTTTAAAGGGGCAGGTACTCAGCTGTCTCTTAAAGAGGCGTTGACCACCTCCAGGATCTAGGTCACAATCCTGTCCTTGGCTTTCTTAAGTAGCCAAGATGGGCATGGGTCTAGTAAGCAAGTGGTAGGACATACTTGTCCAAGCACCTTGTCCACATTATCCAGCCGCAACAACTGAAACTCATCCATTAATTGTGGACTCGACGGCGTCTATGGCAGCTCCCCAGTGAAATCTGATTCAATAGCAGAGTCAAGCTCGTGGAGAATCCGAGTGATTTTCTCCCTAAAATGCTTGGCAAAATCATCACAGTGGGCCTTCGAGGGTGGCACCAGATCTCTCTTCGGGCCCAGATGTAACAGCCCCTGCACCACCCGAAAGAGCTCTGCCGGACGGCATTGTGAGGAGGCAATGGAAACGGAGAAGAATTTCTTCTTCGCCATCCTCACCGCCACAGCATAGGCCCGATAATGGGCTCTCAAGTGTGTTCGATCTGAATCACCCCGTGATCTCCTCCACCTACGCTCTAGACATCTCCCAACCTGCTTCATCACCCGTAATTCAGGCGTATACCACAGAGATGAATGGGCTCTGCCAGGCGGGAGAGGACGCTTGGGAGCGATCGTGTCAATAGCCCTGGTCATCTCATTCCACAGTTCAACCAGGGCATCGACAGGAGCACCAGCCTTGTCAACCGGAAAATCCCCCAGAGCTTCCAGGAATCCATCAGGATCCATCCGGCTCCAGGGGCGGACCAATACAATCGGGTCCTCACCCTTGCAGAGGGAAAGGCCGCTCTCAAGCTCAAACCTTATGAGGAAGTGATCTGACCATGACAAGGGCATCAAACTTAAATTCCTCACCCTAAGATCACCCTCTTCCTGCCCAGTCGAGAAAACCAGGTCCAGAGTGCGTCCGCGTTCATGGGTCGGGCCTATGACGTGTTGAGACAGTCCCATGGCTGCCATGGAGGCCATGAAGTCCTGAGCCGCCCTGGTTAGAACTGTCTCGGCATGGAGATTGAAGTCCCCCAGGACCAACCTCCTGGGAGTCTTCAGCACCAGGTCCGAGGCAATCTCCGTCAGCTCAGGCAGGGAGTCTGTTGGGCAGAAGTGTGCACAGTACACCAACAGAATCCCCAGTCTGTCTCGGTCGCTCAACACCAAGTGGAGGCAATCCAGCCCCGGTCTCGAGAGGACAGGAAGCCCCACAAGGGAAATAGAAGCTCGATAAACCAGAGCAACCCCCCCTCCCCTCCCCTCCAGGCATGGTTGGTGCTGGACCAGGTACCCAGGCGGGCACAGTTGTGGGAGGGAAACTTTCCCCCACCTCACCTGCCCAGGTCTCTGTTATGCAAGCCAGGTTGGCCCTCTCATCCATGATCAAGTCATGAATGAGTGTTACCTTATTTTGGACCGACCTGGCATTAAGCAGCAGCACCGACAGGCCCAGGGGGCAGTTGACAAGTCTACCTGGAACCCGCTGGCTGGGGGAATAACCAGAAAGAGGGACAGATGGTTATGCAGACCTGTTAGACCCCCAACGCCATAACGCCCATTGCCCATCACCACCCCAATGGCGGCGGCCCCACGCTCCCCAGGCAACATCCTAATAAGCACGAGGATGCACCAATTAAAACCCAATTAAAACAATCTAAAACCAGCAATTAAAACCAATTAAAACATGGCCCCTGGCCAGCCCAGCCCCCCGCTTGGCCCCTGAACGGCTCCCAAACGGTGGTGACCGCCCTTTGGCCATCACCCTTCGGCTGCCGGTCCCGGTCGCCGCCGGTGCTTTATGGGCTGCAGGGCCCTCCTCGAGCTCCACCCCTTCCCGGTGTGTCTCTCACCCATGCGGGGGAGGCAGGCCGGAGCCGGGTCCTGGTCCTGGGCCAGTGGTCCTGGCCTCTGGCAGGGTGGTGTGGTAGCCGGCGGCTGCAGGTGGCATTGCAGCAGAGCGGCGACGTGATGGTCCAGGCGGTGCGGAAGGAGGTGGGCCCGTCCGGCGTGCTGGTTCTCCCGGGCAGGCCGGCCAGCCTAGTCACCGCCGGCGCTTTATGGGCTGCAGGGCCCTTCCTGAGCTCCTCCCCTTCCCGGCACTATCATGCCCAGATAGTTGAAGAGCAGTCTTGCCCTCTAAAACAGACGGGAACTCGAGCACGTGGGTAAAAGGGCTCCTTTTCAACACTTGTCAGACAGCATCCTTAAGGGGACATAGGGAAACTGCAGGTCATAAATGACCTCAGCATGGCCAGAGGTTTTAGCAAAGCTAGATGGAATCTATCCATGCTGCGATAAGGATCTGTTTGTTACTCTTAATTCTCAAGTATCATGTTTAGCTACACCCATCTCAATGTTGAAATATGTTTTCAGAGCTACTATGATTATTTTTTTTTAAAAGTACTCTCAAGATGGTTTTGTGGGTACACAGCAAAACCACTTGGATTTCCTTGGGCTGGTGGAGAGCCCACGCCCAGGCTGTTCATCATCTGCCTTCATATTTGAAACTGCTTGGCTCTTACAGTTATTCTGCCAATAAATGCAGCTTATTTGGATTGCTGGAGCTTTCGTAGCAGTTAATTGGAGCTTGAGCTTTGCCTCCTTTCCCCTATAAAAGGAGAAGCACTTGCAGAGAGACTGGGTTCCTCTTTCTTCATCATCAAGCCAAGGCAGGATTATGGAAGGTAAGAGTCTGCTTTAGATGGAACCAGGTGACCCTGAGCAGCTCCTGCTGGTGAACCCAGCTCGCTAAGGGCAAGTCATTCCTGAGCCAAGCAAGGATCCACTTCAACCTTACCTAACTGGATGCCTTTTAGATGTGTTGAATTGAATCTCCCATCATCCATACACAGCATGGTGAATGCACCTGGGGGGTACTAGCTGGAGGAAGGTAGCTCTAAACTCCAATCTGTTTCACTGCCACTGGTGATAGTCCATCCAGAAGACATTCATTTAAGAGGAGCTGCAGACAGCAGGAGCGGGAAATTGGTAGTGGCGTGGAGAACCAGCAGCTCAGCTCCCCTTCTCTTGTTTCCAACTCTGTCTTCTGCTGCTTTACAATGGGTGAGATCCCCCCTTTCCCCTCCTTTGCCTGTTTCCTAATCAGTTTCTCTCCTTCTCCTGCTCTCTTTGTTTCTTTAACCCAGACTTTCCAAATAATGTTGCTGGCACAACCCTGTACTTGTCTACACAGTGAAGTGAATTCTAGGATTGCAGACCAAGGGTGCAATTCTGTGCATATACAGACAGAAGAAAGTCCTACAGCTTTCACTATAGCTGGCTGGGCATTCTGGGACCTGTACAGCTTTTAATTATCTAAACATGCATAGGATTGTGCCTGCAGCTATTTAGAAGTCACAGGTCTAAGGCAAGTAATTTACATCTGCTTTGCCACTTAAGTCACATTATTCTTCTCATTGAGAACCCCAGAATGAGCTTCTGGTGCACCCCTGGATTTTCCGGGCAACACGATTGGAAAACCACTTCTGCTCTTCTCCTTACCTCTGCTTTCTGCCTCTGCACATCAGGTAAAGATCGACTAATGCCCCTGTGCATTCTTACCCCTGCTTTTCTAACTCCCAGTTAGCCATTTCAGCTTAACCCATCCCATGTGCAATGGAGTAGCAGGTAGCGAGGAAGTAGGGAGAGCAGTAGCAAACTCCATTTTTTTTCCTGTAGTCATTAGAGTGCTATGATTTAAGTGAGCTTAAAATGCAAAACTGCCCATGATCAGAGTCCATAAGGAAGGTAGAGCCAGTTATAAAAATGGAATGGTGGTTGAGGATTAAGTACCATGGAACTCATATACATCTGAAGCAGCTCTCCTTATAATTTTGGACCCATGGGCACATTTGAGAACTTAAGAAACCACTGTGGGTACCACCACAAAATGCATAATCAGTGGATCACCACTTCAGTGTCTACCTGTCATGCCGCTGGATCTTGAACTGCATCTTACTCAGCAAAATGTTTTGCTTTGTGGCTCCTGCATACTGCAACACCTAAGGATTTGGCCAAGTGCTGCCACTGCAATGCAACTAATGCTTCTTCTTTTAGTAATGTTCAGTGGCTGCTTCTTTTTGGGAAGAGATTACTACATAGATACATTCTGCACAGCAGCTGTTTTTAATATGCACTAGCATACGCGCACTTTGAAGCTATTTACCTGCTTCACAGAATTTAATGGAAGAAGAAATGACTTCTCCGCAGCTTTTTAAAAGATATTACACATGGGAAGGATAAATGCTTTCCCCTGTAATGTGTTCAGTTGAGCACCTTACAGTACTTTCAGTAGGGCAACATGGATACTTAATGAGGATATTTGGCTCTCTTTTGTTGAAGCCTATGCAGACCTGCTAGGATGTGGTATGCATTTCATACAAAACGATGACTGTATACAGTAAAATGCTGGGGTAAGGGACAGAACACCAGGTACCTGTGGGCTCCATGTTAGGGATCCTTGTGCAAGTGCCATTGAAAGTGTATTGAAAACATGTGACCTAAAGTCATGGTCTGGGATCTCCTAGTTTCTTGAGAGCTTATCCTCCTTGTACTTTTCTTCCATAAATGTGAACATGCTGGTGGCTCCTTCTTTTATTTTCAGCAGCTCCATGTTGGCAGCATAGTTTCTCAATAACAGAATTGATGACAGCCCTCTCCAAACTGATGCTCTCCACATGGGAATTGTTGCCCAAGACATCTAAACGGCAGCAGCAGGGGAAGGCTGGCATATATGAATAATGGTGGTGGTGATAGATAATGTGTCAGGTAGGAAATATCATGTCAAGAGAGACAGTTGTCTTGCGTTCTTATGGAGCAGGAGAAGCTTGTCCCAAAAGGCCACCTTCTGCACATACTTATGCATACTAAACTTCAAGTATGATTTTTTTTTCCCTTCCACCCACTGCAAAATGACAGGTGATGCAAGTTTCTGCAAACTGCAAGCAAGCAAGCAAGCACTTTTAACAGTGCTCAGAAACAGCCTGGGACTCAATACAAGAGTTTAAGTGCCAGCCCAGCCCACTGTTCCAACTAGCAGCCAACAAGAGAAGCTTTCTTTTGAACTAATCGCTCTTTCTGAACAATCTTTGAGGGTGGCTTTCCCTTGTCAACTGGCCAAAGAAGAAGCAGCCTGGCCTGCTCTTGCCTCTCCTGATATTCAGAAATCAGCTACCAAAGTTTTTCTTGACCACCCACTCATTGCTTCAGAGCAAGCTTTTCTTAAAAGAACAGCTAGAAGACAGTTCATAGGTTTGCACCATGTCTCTGAAAATTTGTCACCAGCAGAACAGCGAATGTTCTGGGCGTGCATATTTTTAAATGCATTACAAACACATTTGCTTGCTTGCTTGCTTGCTCATGCCTTTCCCCTCGAGGATGCCAGGACTTATTGCACAGGACTTTTATTTTCCTTCTTCTTTTGCAGCCATGGCAACAAGGAGGATCTTCTTCCTCTTGACTGGGTTGGTGGTCCTGGCTGGTGAGTAAGCTGAGGTAGAGAGCAGCCCATTTGTTTTGCAATGGCTATCCCAAGGCATGTGACTCCTCATTGTCCTGTGGCGACAGCATGTCTCAGTGCATGAGAGGATGTGAAAAAGTTTGTGATGCTATAGTTGAGATATTTCCCCACAATCTTTTGCATGGTTAGACCATCCCGGAAATTGCAACACCCTCTGTTTCTGCCCTAGGATTGCACACTTTTATAACTATATTCCTATCTATTGTGCAATTGTCTTAGAAAGATGTTAACTAGGAAACAACTTTGGTTATTTAATGCACTGTGACGGGAAGACCAACCACTGATAACATTCTCCATTCTCTGAAAGTTGAATAATGTAAATCAGATACAAAAATCCCACCCACCCATCCACCCCTATTCTGGACAGAAAGCTCCCAAAGGTCAGATAGTCCAGAAAATGGGGATAGGGGTTGAATTTCACAACCCATTTGAGCCAACTGGAAGGGAGAGAATTCTGAGTACCAACAGGTAGAACATTACTATCACTCCTGCCTTGCCTAACCTGGTGTCCTCTAGATGCTTTAGAGTACATCAAAGGCCAAAGCATCTCGAAAGCACCAGCTTGAGGAAGTTTTTTGCACTCTTCATCACAGTGCATGAACCTCACGGTGCCTTCTCTAAGTCAGAGGCATGGAGCATATGCTTTCTAGTTGTCATTGGACTGCAACTGCCATCAGCTCTGGCCAGTATAGTCTATGGTGAGGACTGAAGGAAGTTGAAGTCCAACAACAGTTGGAAGGTCAGCTGTTCCCCATTGCTCTCTTATACACCCCTGACCATCCTAATTCAACCAGGACAGTCAAGTTTTTCACAACCCTGTCCTGGGAAGCCTCCACAAGCAAGCAAGATGCATCTTGAACCAAAAAACTACCCCAGAGACGACAGAACATTAGATACTTGTGGTTTTGGTTCAATCCCTTTCCTAATAGCTATCGTTCTTTCAGGACCATGTTTTGCAAACTCATTTGGGAAAGACTTTATCACAGTCTTCCCTACCAACCTCAAGCAACCTGACCGGAATTCTATCTTCGAGCTGGTCTTCACTACCTATCACCCTGGAACCAACATCACAGTGACAACTCACAAGGATGAGCACCAGCACATCATTACTACCCAACAAGTGGAAACTGTTTCATTTAGGCTTCCAGCCTCCATTGAGATGGTGGGGAGTAATTTATTTGATGACACAGTGCAGATCAAAGCAGACAAAGACATCTCTGTCTTCTTCCGCAACCACAAGGACTACACAACTGGTGCCACGGCTGTGTACCCGGTCCAGCAGTTGGGCACACTGTATTATGTGGTGACCCCCGAGGGAAACATGGCAGGCACTTTCAAAGAATTTGCAGTTGTAGCCTACAAGTCTCCCACTCAAGTAGACATTCTCCTGACTGGATCTGTGTCGTTCGGAGGCCAGTCTTATTCTGCAGGAAGCCGGCTGGTTGTTGACCTTAAGGCCTTCCAGGCAATCCAGCTGCAAAGTTCAGATGATCTAACTGGCACCAGGGTGGAATCTGTGGAACCTGTGGCTGTCCTGAGTGGGCACAGTTGTGCTAAGAAAAATACACATTGTGACCATGTGATCGAACAGCTCTTGCCTGTTCACAGCTGGGGCACCACCTTCATTGTCCCCTCACTTAGCTTCCAGACCAGCGTTGACCAGGCATATATACTTGCATCCCAACGTGCTGCCATCTTGTTGCAAACTGGGTTCAAAACACACTCCATTTCTCTGGACCCTGGGGAAGTTTTCTACTTTAACATCCGGAACTCTCACCCAGTTTACATTTCTGCTGACGTGGGAATCCAGGTGCTGTTCTTCTTCACTGGTGCCACAAGAGGAAGGAAAATCTATGACCCGTTCCTCATCAACATTCCACCCCTAACAAGCTACTGCACATCATACCACATGGATGCAATGCAGCAATATGATAATTATGTGGTCCTCATAGCCAAAACCTCAGAATCTACAGGGATCGCATTTGATAAGAGAACTGTTCAAAACATTCGCTGGATGCCTATCCCTGGCACTGAGTATTCTTGGGCTGAACACAGGCTGAGCAGTAGAATGAGTGCCTTGTCCTTAAAGCATCCCAGTGCACCTTTTGGAGCCTTCATCCTTGGAGCATCAAATGGTGATGGCTATGGCTCAGTGGGCCTTTGCTCTCCCAGTAAGTACCATTACAGTGTATTTCAAAATCCAAGCATTGGAGGAGTGAATTAATAGCTTGACAGTAGCCTGGAACAAAGGTGGAAAACAATGTTGAGGTGGGGATGCAAATTAACACACACCACATGTGCATGTGCACTTGCATGCACGCTTGGTCCATCATGGGCTGCTGGGTGATGCCATGCCCTGATGTGATGTAATGCTTCCTTCAAATGTGACTGGAAATGTCCCTGGAAAGCTCATACACGGTGCAGCAAACTGGTCCCAGGCAGTGGCTGGATGAGGTTCCAGCCACCACACTGGTTGGGTCTCTCCACCTGCACCATGTCCTTCTCTGGGAGGTTGTATGATTCTTCAGTGCCTTGTAACCTTCTGCCTGTGACCTTGCAGCTGGCACTCAGAATGCCAAGTCCCACTGCACTCTCCTCACATCACGGAGGAAGACCTGCTCCAGTTGCCCTTCTCCCCACAGTCACAACTGTGCCCTAGAGGGGGAAAATGGCCTTCTAGATAAAATGTGAAGTGTGGGTGTGATGGAGATGGATCTACCAGGTCTTGTTCCTGCAGTGGGATGCCTGTAAGCTGCCAAGTTCTGAGGCTTACCTACATTTGCCATAAGGGTGACAGGCTCATACCCCAAGAGCTTTATAAAGGAACAGTCATGATTGATTTATTCTTGGCTGCATCCTACCTCTCTCTTTATTTGCCAGCACGTAGCCAATTCCATCTCACCCTTCTTTCCTCCCGTCATGGGTCACACTTAGGTCATTTTCTTGGAATCACAGATTACGTTCTTACACCATTTTCTCTCCAGTGTGCCCAGTCAATAGCCACTACAGGGACTGTGTTGACCTCTGCTCCACCAGCTGTGCCATCATCACGTCTGATCGTCCACCATGTTCACAGACTTGCACTGCGGGCTGCCAGTGCAATGATGGCTTCTTCTATGATGATCACAATGGCTGCGTTTCAGAAGAAAAGTGTGGATGCCACAGAGAGGGAATCTACTTCAGGGTAGGCTGGTCTTCTTACTGGTATTCACTCACCCTTCCTTCATGGTGGTTCTGTAACTGGTTCTTCTGGATTAGAACCTGATCTGATTTTCTAAGTCTTTGTGCTTGTCTTAGTTCCATACTTATGGCTTAGTTCCATACTTACTTCCATACTTTCCAACTAGACATCACATGCACTTGAGGTCAGCTCCCAAATATCTCAATATCCATTAAGCAGGAGAGATGTTCTCAATGTTTTGATTTCAAAGACAACATTTCTCAGTCCTGGACTTTTCCACTATGAGAAGTTCAGCTATCTAGTGTCATGGTTAGTGTTAAACTAGGATGCCATAGTTCTGTCTCCACTCGGGCATTTATATTTAAGTTATTTAATTTTTATAGTGCCCAACAACTAAAGCTCTCTGGGGGAGTTCACAACCTGATGCATGAAGTTCAGTGGGCAGCTTTGAGATGGTCACTGACTTTTTAGCCTAAACTACCTCACAGAGTTGTTTTTGTGGGAATAAAATGGGGAGGAAGAAGAAGATTATAAGATCTGCTTTGGGTTTCCTGCAAAGAAAAAAACTCAAAATGGATAAAGAAATTCCAGCAAAACCTTGCATGAACTGGCTCTAGCTTGCCTAGTGATTGTATGCAACTCACAATGTTTGAGTTGGTGAGATTGCCCCTGAAATATTAGACTTGTGGCTATGCCCATTACGCCTCGCCTCGCAGATATATGCCTAGTTTTATAGGTGATTGTAAGTGATCGGGACATTCAGAACACTTGAGTCTCTGTTATTTGTATCCCAAGCCTGGATCTCTCATGTACTGTTGGTGTTATTGAACTGATACCTGCCTTGAATATATTGCTTTCTATTATTGTTCTCAACATCTTACCCCAGCCTGACGAAGTGAAGCTGATGCATGAGTGTCAGGATAGCTGCCACTGCATCCCAGGCAAAGGGGTACTCTGCGAAGCCCACAGCTGTGCCACTGATGAGACCTGCACAGTCCAAGATGGAGTCATGCGTTGTTATAAGGAAGGTAACTCCTGGCATTGATTTAAGCCGTGTGTAATTGCCAAGAATCCTCTTGGCCAGATACATTGGGCAGGACTATTGAGAGGTACCAAGCAGTGAAAGTGAGACCTTCTGCATGCACAAGAGGTGCTCTAACACTGAGGGATGCATCATGGCCTCTTCACCCTCCCACCTTTAGGTAGGCCTGCCATTGCCCACTTCTCATGCAAAGTAGGCTTCGTCTGAACACACGGCTGAGCAAAGCCTGATAACATCATCGTTTTACCCCATGCAGACTACTGGAGGCTTCGAAAGGCATGACATGGAATCATAAAACAGTAGAATTGCAAGTGGCCTATAAGGCCATTTAGTCCAACCCCTTGCTCGTGCAGGCCTCCAAGTTAAAGCATCAATGCACGTGTTAAAGGACATGATAAAGCTACCCATGTAAGTCCTAAAGCTGAAAAAAGTTTTCAGATGAATGTTTACAGGTCCAGCCTCAGTTTCAAAAATACTGCCATCCCAGCTCACTTTTTTCAGTGCAGCTGCTGCTCCTGGACACCTTTGGAGGTGGCATCAGCAGAGACTTTGGGGAGCAAACTGTGTGTATTGTGGAAGGGGGAGATTTAATCTTCCAATCCAGGAGTGTGGTAGTTTTGACTGACTCAAAGCTGCACTTACTTGCACTAGAGTTGGCAATGAAAGAGGCAGTTATTCCTGGCACATTTCTCAGGGCCAGGGTGGCACCAACTCTTTGGATGAGGACTGTGAGGCCTGGGAAATGAGGTGTGTGGACATAGAGATGGTGGAGAAGGGAGAGCTTATCTCAAGGCCACCTTCTTCAAGTAGACCCTGGGACCCAACAGGGTGTGGAAGTGCCAGAAGGGGACTTGGGAGAGGACATAGAGGAGTCTGGACCTGTTTCTGTCCCCATGATGTGGCATCAGGGCTAGCCAACTTAGAGGGTCTGCATAGATATAGGAAGCTAACCTTTCTCAAGTGAAGCACACTTAGGGGAGTGGAGCCCAGAGTTACTAAAAAGGAAGATTCTTGGAAATAATTTCTGGATTGGGTTCAGTGAACCTCTCTGTGCATGCTCACAGGCTCTTACTTAGCCAGCTGTTAGTTTGCTGGCTGTACACTGGAAATAAAGTGCCTTTTGCCAATGAATTATCTGTTGATTGAATGGAAGGAGGGAACCCAACTTCCAAAGGCTAGAGTGAAATAAAAGACAAGGCTCATCTCCAAGCTTCCATATCTGGACCTTAGGACACTCTGTAAGGTGTTATCTCACCATGAAGGAATCTTAGTTTTGTACTTTCTCTTTTGTACCAAAAAGCAAAACAAATCTTCAGTCTCACATATGCTTGGTGTACATATGCTCAGTGCTTTGGTGACAATGTACCCTTTCAGAAATCTGTATTTGTAGTTAAGTTCTAGGACACATGTTATCAAAAGCACACTTGTAGAATCTGAAGGTGCATTACTGGCAGCCCAAAAGCATCATGTAGTAAACCTGTCTTTCCTACCTTCTCTGGATTATATTTATTTTGCTGGCAAGCAAAAGCAAGGAATTAAAGATGGGAAAACAAAGGAGCATTAAAATGGAAGACTTCTCCTAACATTCCATGAATGAGGCAGTGCATTTGCTAAAATAAGCCTCATCTAGAAGGTGTCTTCCACCCTGAGTGTGGAGTACAAGTCATTTTAAGAAATGTTGGTGTGGGGAATAAATTAGGAGTTTTCCACGCTTTCTCTTCAAACATCCCCATCTAACTACTGTCAAAGGCCTGCAGCTGCTTGCAGAGGGGAGCTTTTTATCTCTTGGGCCTCCATAAGATGGACCCAAGATGGTCTTGCTGAATGGGCCACTTAGGTCAACCATAACAGCCTCCCCTGTTCTTGCAACCATTCCTATAGCTTTGCTTTAGAGCAAGCAATGTGCAGTATTAACTGGAAATGGTGGGATGAACCGGAATGAGAAGCCTACACATTTCCGGCCGTTCTGCTATGCTGCAGCGCCATGATATGGTTGTGCAGTGGGACATACGGCAAAGTAGGGATTGAAAAGTTTGAGGGGGGGGCACATGCAAAGGGGCTGGTCTTCAGCCTGTGAAGCAAACAGAAGTCTTGGTAAAGTGTTGGTTTCAAAGCCTCATCTAGAGAAGACCTGAATCTGACTGTGTTATTCCCCCACCCCGGAACTGAGACTAGTATTGGGGAAATTAACTGAAAGTCAACATACCAGCATAGAGTTAACTCACTAATGAAGGTATTTTTGATAGCATTAACCTCACAATTGAAAATTAACCTCATTTGTTTTGATCATTGCTCTTTTCAGATTCCATCACCTGTCCTGAGAACAGCCACTATGAGGCCTGTGGAAATGCCTGCCCAGCCACCTGCTTTGACCGATTTGCTCCCTCAGCGTGCAATAACACCTGTGCAGAGGTCTGCCAGTGTGACAAGGGCTTTGTCCTCAGCGATGGGAAGTGTGTCCCGGTGGAGAGCTGCGGCTGCTTGTACAACGGGAAGACCTACAAGGCAGGGGAGGAGTTCTGGGATGATGAAAGCTGTCAAACTCGCTGCAGGTGCAACCCCAGATTGGCCAAGATGGAGTGCAGGAAAGATTCTTGCAAGGCCAACCAGAAATGTAGGATGGTCAAGGGCACATGGGGCTGTCACACCACCAGACATTCCACCTGCATAGCATCTGGGGACCCTCACTACACTACCTTCGATGGAAAGAAGTTTGACTTCATGGGGACCTGCATTTACCAGCTGGCAGGCACCTGCTCTGATGACCCCAACCTCACCCCCTTTTCGGTCACGGTGGAGAACAACAACCGAGGCAGTAAGGCGGTGTCCTTCACCAAGGTGGTGACCCTGGAGGTCTACAATATGACCCTCAGCCTGAGCCAAGAGCATCCACAGAAGTTCAAGGTACTTCTTGGAGAGACTGGGGACAGTTTCAGATGTGGGGCCAGCTTGTAGGTCAGCTAGGTAAACCTCCTAAGAGCAAAAGTGGTTGTCTGGGGCAGTGCTAGGCACTAGGAAGATTTCATAAAGTAACTTTGAGAAGCTACAGGGCTGTGGTGCTGAGAGGTAAAATGGATGAGGAACGGGCACAGATTTCCCAGTGGCTTTTAAACAGGAAAGCTTAGAATCATAGGAAGGGTAGAAGGAAACAAGAGGAGGCAAAATATGGATGGAAGAAGTAGCAGTTTTCAAATGCACCCAATTCTTGGAACATGCCTTAGAAGTTATTTTTCAAAAAATCACCTTTTTTCTGCTTGTTCAAACAGGAAAGTGTGCATTTTTGTGAATAATTTTTCAAAGTGAGTGATTTCCCCTTTCATTAAACATACATGGCATATATTCTTTAAAATCTCTATATTTCTTTAAATTGTCTATATTTCTAAGTGCACTTAAAATCAATACTCATATATTCCTAACGTATTTTCAAGCATTTCTTTTCTCGCTGCTCACATACATCTTCATGACTGCAAATGGGACATGCCCACAGGAGTTGTGAACAGAAATGAAATGCTTCTATATCCTTTGGATAAAGGAGCCGGGGTGGGCAACTTGTGGGGAACCAGAGTCTATAATCTTAGTATTTATATTCCATTCCATTCCCATAAGCTCTGGGTGGTTTACAATTAATTAAAACCAACAGTGAGTAATATTGACTGAGACAACATATTAAACAAAACTGACATGAGAACCAATCTGGGAAGGCCTCTCTAAAGAGATATGTTTTTAACCTTCTCGTAAAGGTGGGAATTTGGGGAACCAGATGTATCTATTCTGGCAGGGCATTCCACAGCGTAGGGACCTGAAAAAGTCCTCTGGGTGGCTGCCATGAATGTTACAGAAGATGGCCTTGGGAAAGTATCCCCAGAGGACCTTAGCTGGAGGGGAGGAATGTATGGCCCAAGGTACCCCTGAAGGTATTTTGGACCCAAGCCATAATTACCAACACTTATTTATTTATTTATATTTAAAAAATTTGTAGGCCGTCCATTGCTGTCGTCTCTGGACAGCTTACAACATTATTTCAGACTTCAATAAAATAAGTTAAATTAAGTATTCCACACTGAGCAGCATTTAAAATAAATTAAATAAGTAATTTCACAATTAAAATTACTATGTGTTAAAATATTGGCCAAACAAAAAGGTCTTGACCTGGCACCAAAAAACATATAATGACGGCGCCAGGTGGACCTCTCTAGGGAGCGCATTCCATAGTCAGGGCACCACCGCAGAGAAGGCCCTCTTCCAAATGCTCTGCCTCCTGACCTCTTCCAAAGAGAGTTCACGGGGAAGGGCCTCTGCTGCCGATCTTAGGGGGCAGGAGGGCATGTAGGGAAAAAGGCTTGCACTGTATCAGGAAACATGTTATCAACCAGTGTCAAGAGGTGACTTGTGGCTTCTCCATGATGTCGCAGAGACCAACCTGGCTGCCATTTTTGTACTAGTTGCAGTTTCCAGCATAGGCACAAGGGTAGTCCTTTACACACCACATTGCAGGAATCATGCCTAGAAGTGACCAAAGCATGCACTACTGTTCTCAGGCCATTCTTCTCCAGGAAGGGGCACAGTTGGCAAATCAATTAAAGTTGATAACAGACACTCTTGACTGAAGCTTCTGTCTGAGCTGACATCTGAAAGGCTAGGCCAAGTAGCACCCCCAGGCTGAACATGGTCTTTCAGAGGAAGTGTGATCCCATCTAGAACTAGTTGACATACCTCTAATCCAGGATTTGGACCTTTAACAGCAAGCACCTCCATTTTGGTGTAATTCATTGCAACCTGCTAAGTTATACCAAGACACAAGTTGCCCACCCTAGTTTAAGATCAGGGACTTCTGTTACCTCTAGAAAGAAAGCAAGAATTCTAGGGACAACTGAGAGCAGTGTGAGACAATGAAAATGGGATACACAGGTTAAAAAGGGTGGATAATGAGTAGCAGAGCTATAAAATTGTCATAACTAGAAACCAAGAAGAAAGCTTGTGAGTGTGAAGGGGAGTATAAGGCAGCCAGGTCTGTTGGTCCAGCAGTGCTCTTGCAAGGGTAGGAACTGCACAGAAAGGAAATGAATCCAGTATTTGGTTCCATTGCTATTGGAAATTTGTGGCATGCCAATCTTAAAGGTGAGATTAGGGCAAGGAACCTCTGCACAGTATATGGAGAATATGAGTAAGAGACTCCTAATTCAACTCAAATGTGCAAACCAGCATCTCTGGGAATTATATCCTCCCTTGCAGAAATTGCTGATTTATTTGAGTAACTTATATGGAGCTTGTAATATGAAGTAGTCCTTATATGCAAACTTTCTGTTTGAATGATATTTATTGCTTATGCAATATTAAGGCTTCACTGATAACAGCGGCCCTCTGGTGGATGATTCAGTAATTAGACTGCTGTACTGTATTTTGCAATTGCAGTTGACCTTCTAAACTAGTCTGAAGTGAGTTTATCCAAGTATCCAGAGAAAATGGGAGAAAGCACAGTAGAGAGAGTCTTCAAGAGTCAGCCAAATCCATCTGAAAGTCAGTGGAATGTAGATTATTTATTGAATAACACTGTTAAAGTCATAAACCCTTTTTGTTCCTGCCTCATGACATGGGACAAGAACTCACCTTTACTGGAACATCAGCTCCTGGGGAAGATATACAACCTATAGAACAGGTATGGGAAATGTCAGGCCCTCCAGAGATTCTTGGATTCAAACTCTCATCAGCCCTGACCAACATGGTCAATGGTAGTCCACTGTAGACCACCATCATCTGGAGGGCTACAGATTTCCCCATTCCCACCGTATCATATATATCTAGACTGTCAGCCAGTGGTGATGAAACCAGATCCTTGTCTGCCGAATTTCCTAGATCTTTTTCACATGCTTTCCAGGTCAATGAAGTCTTTGTGGACCTGCCCTTCTTCTATGAAGATAAAGTGAAGGCCTATACTAGTGGTGTCCATGGCTTCATCCAGACAGACTTTGACCTGAAAGTCAGCTTTGACTGGTACAGCTATGCCAGGGTCATACTTCCCAATTCTTATGCCAAAGCTGTCTGTGGTCTCTGCGGCAATGCCAATCAGGATCCCAGTGATGACTTTATCATGAAGGATGGAACTAAAGCAACTGATGAAATCCAATTTGCAGACAGCTGGAAGGTGAAGGAGGTCCCAGGGTGCTCGGCAGGTTGTACTACTGACTGTCCAGTATGCAAGGAGGCAGAAAAACAAGTCTACAAAGGGGACCAGTTCTGTGGGATCCTCATCAAAAAGGATGGGCCCTTCAGGCAGTGCCACAAAGTCCTTGACCCATCCTCCTACTTTGATGACTGTGTTTTCGACACCTGCCAGTACAAGGGCCACCAGGACACTCTCTGCAGTGCCATCAGTGCCTACGTGACAGACTGCCAATCTCAGGGCATCCAGATTGAGCCATGGAGATCATCATCCTTCTGCAGTAAGCATGACTTCCTAGATTGGCGTTTCATTAATATTAGACTGAACTTAATCCCCAGTGTAATCCTGGTGGGTTTGAGGGGATGAATCCACTGCATAGTATATAAAGATATTTGCTTATGGGGATACAACTGTACAAGGACTCTACCTGAAATCTGTAATCACCTCTGCTGCATTAATTCCTGTTGGGTCTCACAGACCTTATACCTTTGCTCGTGCATGTTTGTTCAGCCCCATATTTCCGGGTCATGTGACTTAAAACCACCAGAAAAAACATGTCTTTATCCAAACAGCTGCAGAGAACATAATATAGGCATTGCATAGCTGAGTGAGCATTTTTGCAACATCAGGGCCCACTGAAGGCTGGTGACTCTTGTCACCATGGGGTTCCATGATGCTGAGCTCCAGCCCCAGAATAGGTTCACCACCATGGGGCATCATAGATACTCCCTATACAATGGAAAAGCAAAGCTGCAATGGATTAGGAGCCCTACAGACATAGTGGGCATCAGCACCCCCCAATGGGTCAATTAGAACCCCCCCCCCCATGTCTTAGGGACATCTAGAACAGATATGACCCTGGTCTAAATGAATTATCTACAATGAGAGAGGGGAATTTCTGCAAGACAAACTCCACAGAGTGGGGGGAAATGGAGAATTTCAATTGATGGGTCATATACAATACTTAAAGTCAATTGATTTGGGTATGAAGCAGTAGTTGCAAAAAAAAATTTACTTTGTTTTTAGACAATGAGTACAAAGTGCTCTTAAAAGGGTCAGGCTTTTCCTTTTGTGAGAAGAGAGGGAATGCTGCTTCTAAGATGGCACCAGCTATCCACATTTCTGGAACTCTGAAATTGAAAACAAGCTGACTAATATTGTTAGCGGTGTGTTACCAGGTTATCTGAGGGAAACTGCCTCATCCTATCAACCTATTAACACTGTAGCCCTACAGTTTAGTGCTGTCTCCCCCATTAAAACAATGTGAAATGCAAATGCTGAGGAAATACAATTAAAGCAGCCAAGAACAACTGAGCTGTTATTGCAAGAAGCCACATGGAGTATGAATTACAATGAGTTAGTGAAGAAAATGCTTTACATATTCGAACATCCCTTTTGGAATCAGCTACGATCACAAATTTGTTGTAAGGATTCTCTTGGTATTCTCTGATATCCTCCCAGGAATGGCTTTTTCTGTGGCTGTGAACAGTGAGCAAGGACCCATTTTGAGCTATTTCAAGGGAAGAGTTGGGAGGGAGGGAGGGAGGGAGGGAGGGAGGGAGGGAGGGAGGAGCTCGTTGTACCACACCGTCCTTGAGATTCTTTTCCAAGTATCAGTCAGGGAATCCTTCCCCTTAGCCTGAACTGCATTGCAAGCATCCATCACATTCTCCTCATTCTTCCATTCCAGACCTTCCATGCCCACACAATTCCCACTACGAACCTTGTGGAACTAGCTGCCCTGCCACGTGCCATGGTTCTGCCCCGGAAACATGCGAAACGCCATGCATTGAAGGATGCTTTTGTGACCCTGGGTTCATCCTCAGTGGGGGCACATGTGTCCCTTCTGCTGAGTGTGGCTGTGAGCACCAGGGCAGATACTACAAGAAAGGAGATGAGTTCTATCCCAGCAGATCTTGTGGAGAGAAGTGCCAATGCTTGGGCAATGGAATTACGAAGTGCCGGCAGCAGTCTTGTGGACCAAATGCAGTGTGCAGCGTGGAGAATGGCGTCCAAGGCTGCCATCCCATCAGCTATGGAACCATGGTTGAATCTGGGGACCCCCATTACATCTCCTTTGATGGACTGATTTTCACATTCCATGGCTCTTGCACATATACGCTAGCCAGAGTCTGCAGCAACGATCCCCAGTTGGAGGACTTCTCAGTCCTGGTGAAGAATGAGAAAGTAGATGCTACCCCATCAGTACTAGTAAAGGCTGTTGTGCTCTCTGTGTATGGACATACCATTGTCTTGGAGAGAGGAATAAAATGGAAGAGTGTGGTAAGTACCTACCATATTACACACCAGGTTAAAGTTGCGTGTTGACAGGGAGGATTGGGCCACGGCTTCAGTGTGCAGGTGTGTTTGTGCATGGCCAGAAATGCAGTCCCAGCTGATATCCTTTGTCATTGGTACAGGTGGATGGAGAGCCCCGTAATCTGCCACTGACCACATTAGATGGGAAAATTAGGATCAGCCAGGAAGGCAACAACATCATTGTCCACACACGGTTTGATCTCACAGTCTTTTATGATACTTCCTCTTATGTCCGTGTGACTGTCCCCAGCACCTACCAGGGGCAAATGTGTGGTCTGGGGGGCAACTTCAATGGCGACCAGAGTGATGACTTCTTGCTACCCAATGGCAAACATGCTCAAAACGTGGAAGAGTTTGGGGCCTCCTGGAAGGTCTCTGTGGATGGTGTTGCTTGTTCTGATGGCTGTGGTGAGAGATGCCCCACCTGCAGTTCAGCCCAGATCGACCCATACAGGGCTGAGCAGTCCTGTGGAATGATCCAGTCCAAATCTGGCCCTTTCAGAGAATGTCACCCCTTGGTGAGCCCTGCTGAGTACTTCGAGCTCTGCCTGTATGACATGTGTGCAACGGAAGGGGCGGAGGAATCCCTCTGCCGAAGCCTTCAGGCCTACGTAGCTGCATGTCAGGCAGCTGGAGGGGCAGTCGGTGCCTGGAGAACCTCCTCCTTCTGTCGTAAGTTTGCAAGGCTTTCCTTCCCCACTTCTAGAGTGAACCCTTTCCAGCTTCCCGCTAGGTAGTACTTTACCCTTGCATGCCTTCACATAATGTATTTGCTTCGTTGCCAATCAATTTAGAGGGCGTGGTCAGATTATGTATTTGTTAATTTGAAATGTTATATAACACTCCACAGAACAAACTTCAGAACAGCGAACTGTTTAAGTTAAAAGGTCTAAGAGTCAATTGGTATAGTGCTTAAATGTTGGAATGGGACTTGCGAGAGCCTGATGTTTGTCTCCTCTCAGCCAGAAAGTTCTCTGGGGGATTTTGGGCCAGTGACAAACTCTCATCCTCACCTACCCCAGAAGGTTGTTGTTGTGAGGATAAAATGGAGAGGCAGAGAACCTTGCAAGCCATCTTGGGAAGAAAGGCAGGGTAGAAATGCAATGCAATAATAAACACTGTGCCAAAAGTTCTTAAAAACAGAATGGTGATAAAAACGTGCCAGGTTAAGCAAGGAAGTCTTGATGAAATAAAGAAGTACCCAACAGACATTGGAAACAGAACAGCAGAGCAACTCTGTCTGACCACCAGAGGCAGGCCCTAGAAAGCAATCAGGAGGAAAGCCATGGAGGATGTGCTTGAGACAGGCTCCAAAAGGATCCACCACCAGTTCAACATCTGATGACCTCAGGGACAGGGCAGGCTCTCAAAGGAGAACACGCTCTCTCTGAAGCATCCTGGGCACCCGTCATTTAAGGCTTCACACACTTGTACCAAACCCTTCACAGGCATCCTGTGAAGCTCCCTCAGCAAAGGAGTTGCATGCTGGGAGAAGGCAGCTCCTGAGCATAGCTGAGCTGCTGCATTCTGCACAAGACCTGGTTTCCAGGCCAGCTCTAAGTGCCACCGCACATCCAATACCTTGCAGTTAGCATGTCTGGCTTGTTTCTGTACCACTGTAGCTAGGCTATCCCTGACCAGAAGAGGACATAGCTGGCCTGCCAGGCAACACTGGTAGAAGGCACTCTGAATTAGGATGTACAAGGAATCTGTTTGGGGATGGGAATCCCTCTGATTTTCCCCAGGCTGAGCACCCTGGATTCCGGTCCACTTTGTAGCAGCCCAGAATCTGAGTTCCCGGAAGGCACATCTAGTGGTCACAGGGGCTCACCAGGAATCAAGCCCCCCATGTTGCTCAAGCAGTACACTGCTATCTTCACCAGCAAGTGGGAAAGAAGTCTGGTCACTAGGAATGGTGACTGGAGTGCTCACTCACAGCCCTCCTTTCCTGCATCCCACAGGGAAGATTGCTGGCTGCACAACTGGGCATCTGCAAGTGTTCATGGGCTTCCTCCTGGCTCCACTCACTTTGCAGGACTGGGCCAAGCTTGAGAGAAAGTCCATGGAATGCTTGAGGGACACATTCTGAAAGGGTTCCTCTCAACCCTAACTGGTACTTCTAGAGCAGCCCATATAATACCAGTTCTGAAAGAAATTCAGTAGCTACCAGTTGTGGCCCAGGCAAAATTCAAGGTGCTTGTATTGACATATAAAGCCCTCAACGGTTTGGGGCCCAGCTATCTGAAGTATCATCTGTTGCCATATATACCTGCTCGCCTCCTTAGATCAGCTCAGCAGACCCCTCTATGAGAACCACCCCTCGGGGAAATGAGAGGGATGGCAACTAGGTGAAGTTTTCTGCTGCTGCACTCAATCTCTGGAGCTCCCTTCCTGAGGAAATTCACCTGGAGCCATCTTTATTTTCCTTTCAGCACCAGGCAAAGACATACCTTTTAAGGATTTTTTTTTAACATTTAGCCTGAATGCTGTGGCCCTTTTTAATTGCTTTTAATTCATTATGTTTTAATTGGTTTTAATGTATTTTACTCTGTTAATATGTTTTATGTATTGTAAGCTGCCTAGGAAGCCCTTGGCAATTATAGGCGGCCTATAAATGCATGTGTAAATAAATAAACACTACTCTGAACAACCATGGCCGCTTGGACTTCCAGCACAGGATAGAGCTATGAGTCTATCCGGGGATCCTGGGAGTGCAACCCCATCCAGAACAGGCAATAAGTCTTATCTTCCAGACTCAGGAATCACCCACTCACAGGCTCCCACCTTGCCAGGACTCAGTGCCAGTGTACTGGCACTCACCCCCCTATCCAGCATCCATATCTGCCAGGCGTCACTCCTTCTGCTTTCTCCTTCTTTCTAGCCCTCGCCTGCCCAGCTAACAGCCACTACGAGACATGCACCAAATCTTGTGACACCAGCTGCGCTGCTTTGAATGCTCCAGTCCAGTGCATGAAGAATTGCTTTGAAGGCTGCCATTGCAATGATGGCTACATGTTTGATGGAGACACTTGCGTGCCTGTAAACAAATGTGGCTGCGTACTTGATGGACTGTACCTCAAGGTAAGCTAGGAGGGGGTCTGAGGATGCCCCCTGCTTCTTCTGCAGACTGGCTCCTGAGGTGGAGTTTCTCTCAGGCAGATGTTCTTCTGCATTATCTGCAGGCAAGCAAGCAAGAATCAGGATTCGGACTAGAGTCTGCCTGCAGACAGAGGAGCCAAAGGCTCAAAGCTGGCATAGCTTAATGTTAGTGGGTTTTCCTGGGTGCACATCAAAGCTGAAACAGAAGGAGTCAGAAAGATTATAAACCTCCCTGTTCAAGCCAGATGGGCTATCAAAGGGGCTCTTCCAAGCAGTGTCCTTGACTTCCAATCATTTAGAACATTGCACGAAGCTACATTGTTCCTTCCTCGTCATTCGACAACTAACCCTTGAACCCCTGATTCCCATGGCCACCTCCGCCCGCCGCTGGAAGCCTGTGCTCCCTTGGCTTTGGAAGGGCTTCCTTGGACATGATGGTGGTTTTCATTCATCTCTCCCTGCTGTGCCTGCCTCCTTGCCCATCCAGACTGAGTCAGGATCAGTTCTAGAGGCAGAAGTGCAGGGCCCAGTCCCTAACAGGTACCATTTAGAGGCCCGGGAGTGGCTGGCCCTAGCCTTCTTGTCTGCAGCGTGCTCTTGCCAGGAAAGTGAGATAGCAACTATACCACAATGCATTGCAGGAGACTTTAGGCATCCCAGATATGGAATTCAATTACACTGGAGATCAGGTTGGCACAGCTCTCTATTCCTTTAGATGCCAACTCCTGTTTCACAGCCGCTTTGCTGGGTGAATTCATTGGATTGTATGGATTTTAATGATCATTTTGAAATACTTTATATCTTTAACTGTTGCTGCCATTTCATGATTTCTATACTAGACATATTAATTTTCATGTATGTTTCATTTTATTTTTAAGGTTGTTTAGTTGGTTTGATATGTTATGTCCCCTTCCATCTCACCTCACCTCATCTTACTTTAATTAATTTCATAGATTCTATTTTCTATTATATTTATTGGTTTTACTGGTTTTATTGCTCCTTGTGGATTCTGTATTGTTGTATTGTATTCAATATGTTGTAACCTGACCAGAGAGCTTATGGGCTAATGGAGCAGCATATAAAACGAATAAATAAATAAGTCACCCTGTGCATCTCTCTCTCTCTCTCCTCTCACCCCCCTCACACACACACACACACACTCTATTGCAATATGGAAAGGCAGCATGAACAGATTTGAAATAAACAAAAAAAAAAGGCAAAAACATGGCTTAAATCTTTGTTATCCCCCTGTCTTTTCAGTATATTCTTTCTTTTCCTTGCCCTACAGGTTGGAGAGAGCATCTTCCCAAGCAACTGCACAGAGAAATGTACCTGTGGTCCCTCCAACCAAATCACCTGTGAGAGAACCAGCTGCCAGTCTAGCAAGACCTGCACACTTAAGGATGGTGTACGTGCCTGTCAGCAAAGGGGAGTCCAGTGCAAAGTCAGCCCAGAAGGCCAGCTCACTTCTTTTGATGGTGCCTCAGCAAAGTACCTGTGCAGTAAAGTTTATGACATAGCCACTGTATGTGATGGAAATGCTTCCACCTGGTTTAGGGTAGCAGTGAGCATCGCAAAGAATAGTGATGATAGTCTGGCAGCTGGGGCAGCCGTCTACGTTTTTTTGCCGGATACATTCATCACGGTGAAAAAGAACAATAGGGCATGGGTAAGTAGAGGTCTGGAGAACTGGTACTGGCATTCAGCATCCCTGCTGCTCAGGCTTGTTTGCATGATCCACTCCCAGATCTCTTTAGCACCCGATCTGGTGCCCTCCCTACATAGTCTGGGGGAACCATAGGAATGTTCAGAGCTCAAGCACCAAGAGCCTGTGAGATCTGTGCAGGGGCTTGGGGGCTGAGTCCCCACCCCAGCTGCAGCTGGCAGGGAAAGAACCACACCGGCTGCTTCTCTGAGAGTGGAAATGCCCCTCAGAGAGAGAGAAAAGGGGTGTGCTGGGTGCAGGGAGGGGAGGAGGTGGGGGGGATTTGCCAAGGCTGATTCCTATCACTGCTCCAGCCTCCCTTCTCCCCCTCCCCAGTGCTTTCTCTGCCTGCCTAACCAGCTGCCTAGATACAATGCACGGGGTGAGGGGCTAGCAGGGAAGAGGATGGTTAACACACCTTGCTTCAGCCACTGTGCATGCTTGTAATCCTCCTCATTTGGAGGCTCCTGTGCATTAAGGGCAGAGGGCACTGGATGCTGGATTGCACCCGCAGCCTCTTTTTGGCTTGCTTGTTCCAGGGGGACAATCTGGCTGCTGCAAACTGGAAATGGGAGAGAGAGCCTGAAGGAAGCTCAGGACTCTCTTGGAATCTCTGTTTGTTTCATTCATTGCTTACAATCTCACCCCAGTCCAACCTGAGCTATTTTTGAATGCTAAGCCTGCAGGGGGTGCCCATCAGTGAGGATTTCAGTTGCGCAGATATGTGTGTATGGGGAGGGATGTTCTGAACACGTGCACTCAGAATACGGTGTTTCTAGCATGATTGGAACTATCACACATGAGTATCTGAGATTCCCTGCTTGATTTGGGATAACAGCTTCTCAGATTATTAAAAGTGGATATGTTTGACATAACCTTAGAGCACTGTGCTCCTTCCCAGTCAAGTAAATGGACCACTTCCCATTGCAAGGAATCGCTTGCTCCACAGTCATCACACAGAACTGTGTGAAGTGACTTTTATTTATTTTATTTTCGATTTATATCCTGCCTTTTTCCTACAAAGGGCTCAAGGCAGCTTACATCATTCTCCTTCACCATCTTATCCCCACCACAACAACCCGGTGAGGTAGGTTGGGCTGAGAGTCTGTGACTGGCCCAGTCACCCAGTTGGCTCCATGACTGAGCGGGGACTAGAACCCAGATCATCTGAGTCCCATTCCTGTGCTCTTAACCACCACACCACACTGGCTCTCTTTTCCCCAATTCACCTTTGCTCTGCAGAAGTGGTATAATGAATTGAGGGGAATAATCCGTCGTCATGCACACAACACCACTTTATCTCAGATTTTTAAGGTAGGGCCCCAAGGAGTTTCCCTTCAGCTTTTGCAGACCATTGTCTGAGGGATTCTGCTACATAGGTAGAGCAGAATAGTGCAAATGTACGAGTGGAAAAAGTATATTCCTTGGCCTTAACAAATAGTACAGCAGTTTTTCTGCTCTAAAAATGTTCTCAGAAAGTACAAAAGTAAAAGTGAAGGATCATGAAGAACCAATAAACAACTACACATAAGGAATGATGATTACACAATAAATGCCTCATAGAGAAAAACTCACAGTAGCCCCTGATTTTTTGCATTCTGTTTGTGTCCAGGGCCTCAAACAAGCCCAAATCTCACCACCTATCCCATTCTTTATGTGTTCCAGGTGAATGGACGTCCCGTCAGGCTGCCATACAACAGAAATGGTGTATCTGTGAGCCAAGTTTCAGATGGGATCATAATTGACAAGGCTTCTCAGTTGCAGGCTCATCTTCATCCTAATGGAGAAGTGACTCTAAAGGTTGAGGAGACCTTTGCAGGAAAACTCTGTGCCCCATGTGGAAACTTCAATGGGGACAGCTTGGATGACTTCAAGCTGCCCAGTGGGAAGATTGAGAAGAACATTAATGAGGTCCTCCATGCCTGGGAGGCCAAAGACCTCTAACATGAGTAAAGATCATGTTTTTCAGGGACTTCTGGGAGTCATGCATGGCCTTGAGCTTTAACCAAGTTCACACCGAAGGACACCTCATTCAAAAGGCCATGACTCTTTCACAGAAACATGGTTTTATCATAGCTTCTCCAGGTCTGTTGTTCCAGGCAGCCAAATCTCAGTGCTAAGTGCAATTCACTGTTCAGCATTTATATTGTGAATGGCAGCATCACTTGTAGCATTGTCAGCCATTAGTTCACATGTGTGCAAAAGCTTAGCCTCAAGCACCTCTTATCAAGCAACGAGCTAACAATATTGTAGATTCCCCAAACAGAAGCCACAACAAGAAAAAATACAGAGTAGCCAAGAACAGTGAAATGTGAAAAGAACTCTGTTTCTAAATGTTTTATCGAAAAGAAACAAGGGAAAACAGCAAATCCATGTCCTTTTGCAGTAACTGAAGTGCCACTGAAGTGAGAGATTTTGCATTTTCCTTGGCAAAATGAAACAAAATGGCAACAAAAACATAGCTAAGACCACATTTGAAGCCTTTCTTTGGATCACACCCAAGGATCTTGGATAAGCAGTAAGAAATTCCCGCTATGTAATGTTATCTTGAAATACCTTGCTAATGAAGATAAGAGGTTAGAATTTGCATATCTAGATTAATCATGGGAACACTGTGCATGTAACTCTGAGACTGAATGTATGATGAGGCTATTGGTCTGTTATCTGCTACTTAAATTCCACTTTAAAAAGTAGAAACATCAAAACTAAGCTTATCGCATTGCAAAGTTAACTGGTGAATTGCTCGCATATACTTGTTCTTCCCATGATGCATCTCAACATAAATATGAACTATCTCTCCAAAATTTATCTGATAATAATTTCTGTTCTCTGATTTGTTACCTTACTTTTGCATATAATTCTGAAATCAAATATGAGATTTGTTTTGACCTTTGATCTTTGGTCTGCTTTGAGAGATTTTGATACAGAAAATATTGTTGGACCAATGTTTGCCCACTGTATAAATTCTAGTTTTGCAAATTACTTGTGAACAAATTCTTGAACTGCCTCAAATGTTCTTTGCCTTATGTGATTTTTGCCTTTTATTTTGTAACATAGAGGTCCCAACCTGAAAATTATTGGACTAATTTTTGATATGATTCTAGTCTTTGAACTGTTTCTTAAACTAAACAATGTGCCTATACTTGTCAGTTTGGCTATATGATTTCTAGAGAGTGGAAACCATTACGTTTTTACCATGAGATTTGCTGCAATAAAAGGTCTCTTTGATCTTCATGTCCTGTGTCATACTGCTACTGTAAGTGCCAGAAAAATGGGCTATGACACCCCTGGGTGCTCTCCATCTGGCTGCAAGTTTTGTTTATTTCTGCTTAATGATCAAAAATTTGAAAAAAGGGATTTAAAGGCAATACCTTGTAAATATATTGCAAAGAATTGAGATTTCCACTTTGCTGGGATGACAGCTGTCAACTAAGAAGTCTTTTGCTATGCCCACATTGGGGATAATTGCATGTGGCCTTGTCCACTCTGCTTTGTCTGTCCATGATCCTTTCCAGTGCAGAGCTATGGGCAAGAGACTGGCAACAAGAGTGGCTCCTTTGAGTCCCAGGGCTAATTGTGATCCTAAGATAGGATGCCTTGGCAGAGCAGCAGAGGCACAGGCTGGGAGAGAGGCTGAGTGGCCAGGGGACTGGTGAAGGCAAGGGAGGAGCTGGGCAGCGGAGCAGGGGGCCAGGAGCAGAGGAGAGGAAGGGGGCGGGGCCAGAGGGGCTAGAGGGGCCAGGAGGGAGCAGGGGGCGGGGCCACCAGTCTGAGGGTCTGATAAGGCTGCGCTCAGACACTGCCAGCCCTTTTGGCTCTGGCCTCTTGGCAGAGCAGCAGAGCAGCAGAGGCACAGGCTAGGAGAGAGGGCTGAGTGGCCAGGGGACTGGCAAAGGCAAGGGAGGAGCTGGGAGGGGAGCAGAGGGCCAGGAACAGCAGAGAGGAAGGAGGCGGGGCTAGAGGGGCCAGGAGGGAGCAGGGGGCGGGGCCATCGGCCTGAGGGACTGATAAGGCATCGTCCCTTGTCTGTGTCCCTTGGCTGCAGCCTGGGCTGTCCGGAGACTCCCTTCCCTGAGACACAGAGGTTTGATTGTTTGTTTGTTTGTTTGTTTGTGCTGTGCTGTGCTGTGCTTTGCTTTGTTTTGTTTTTCTTCCAATTTAAGTTTATGTTATCCTTGTGTGTGTGTGCGAGTGGGTTTTTGTCTGGGAGAACTGGGTGAGTGAGAGGAACTGCAGGACAAACATGGCAGGGGACCAAGGTAAGGGATCCCGATGGCAGACCAGGAGATGGCCTTGGCGGGAGCCACGGGTGTTGCTGTCCGCTGTGAGAGCTGTGACATGTTTGCCCTTCTCCCCCAGGAGAGGCAGGGATACACTTGCCCTTGGTGCAAGTTGGTGACCCTGCTAGAGGAGGAGGTGAGGGGCCTGAGGGCTGAGAGAGCCCTCCAGACCCCCCCGGAGTAGCCCCCCTCTGGACAGAGGGTTGAGGGAGAGGCCGTGGAGCAGCTGTGGAGACATGGAGGCATGTCACCCACAGGAGGGGGAGGCCAGCACGGCCTCTTCCTTCTCCTGGCACCAATCTGGAGCTGGGAAACAGGTTCTCTCCACTTGGGGAGGCTGGGGCTAATGAGGCCTCAGGGGACCAGCAGGACCCCCAGCCTGGGATGTCAGGTGGCAAGGGGGCTGCTGCGGGAGAGGCAAGGGCCAGGGCATGGCTGCCCACCAGCACCGGGAAGGTACGGCAGCGGGTGATTGTTTCTGGGGATTCCCTGCTGAGGGGCACTGAGCTGGCGGTGTGCCGCCCCAACCTGGAGACAAGGGAGGTTTGCTGCCTGCTGGGCGCACGCATCCAGCATGTGAAGGACAAAGTGGAGCGTCTTGTTCACTCTGGGGGTCACCAGCCGCTCCTGGTGATCCATGTGGGCACAAACGATGTGGCCAGGCAGGGTGTGGTTGGGACCACCAGGGACTTTGAGGCCTTGGGGAAGAAACTCAGGGAGCTGAAGGGACAAGTGGCCTCCTTGTCAATCTTACCTGTCCGGGGATTTGGGCCAGGAAGGGACACGAGGGCCTCTGAGGTGAATGACTGGCTTAGGGTGTGGTGCCAGAAGGAATGCTTCGGGTTCCTCGACCACAGCACTCGTTTTCTTGCAAGGGACGGGTTATACCTCACGAGGATGGGGAAAAGGTTCTTTGGAGATGCTCTAGTGAGCTTCATCCGGAAGACTTTAAACTGAGCTGGGGGGGGGGGGAGGTTCAGGCCCCCCAGTAACGTGTCTGCACTGGACAAGTGTGGGGGGAGGATCAGGGCTCTGGGAGCAGGGTTTTAGAGGTACTGCAGGAACTGACAGGACTCCTCCAGAGAGGGGCCAGGTATCAGGGAGGATGGAAGGAAGGAGGAGGCTGGGAACTCCAAGGAAAGGAAGCGGTGGGAAGGAGTTGAGGTGCATGTACACCAATGCTAGGAGCATGGGTAATAAGCAGGAAGAGCTTGAAGTTCTCCTGGGAATAGGAGGGTATGATCTGGTGGGAATCACAGAAACTTGGTGGGATGAAAGGCAAGTCTGGAATGTGAACATAGAAGGGTATCACCTTTTTAGAAAGGGAAAGGGAAAGAGAGGTGGGGGCATGTCAGAGAAGGGATAGGATGCAGTGAGATAGAATGCAGCACAGATGGGGATTCGGTAGAGGCAGTCTGGGTGAAACTTCGGGGTTTTGACAGGGAAAGAGACCTGACAGTGGGGGTATGTTATCACCCTCCAGGTCAACTTGAGACCCTGGATGATGTCCTGACAGACCAGATTCTAAGGATATCTTGGGGGAGAGACACAGTAATTATGGGAGATTTCAATCTCCCAGATATTACTTGGGAGACTCACTCGGAGGTGACAGCCAGGTCATGTCACTTCCTAGAAGCTACTGAGGGAGCGTTTTTCACACAGTGGGTCCGAGAGGCGATGAGGGGGGAAAACATCCTTGACTTGGTCTTGACCAATAGCGAGGAGCTGATAGATGAAGTACAGATTAGGGGAGCTCTGGGTGCGAGTGATCACTCCATCCTTTGCTTTGAGATCAGGGGACTGGGGACGTGCAGCAGGTCGAGCACTAGAAGCTGGGACTTCAAGAGGGTCAACTTTGGCCAACTGAAGGCCAGACTGGGGAAAGTCTCCTGGGATAGGTTACTGGAAGGTAAGCGAGTTGAGGAGGGGTGGATAGCACTCAAAAGGGAGGTTTTGGAGGCACAAGCCTTGACAATACCTCTAAGTCAGTAAGGTGGGGAGGAGGAGGAGAAAAGGATGCGAAAAGGAGGTGGTTAGAGGGATTAGACGAAAGAGGAACCTCCGTAGGAAATGGGTACTGGGGGAAATAAACAAAAGGGTATACCGGGAGGAGGAGGCCCGTTGCAGAAGGATTCTTCGCAAGGCAAAGGCTGATTACGAGCTGAGACTTGCCAAGAATATCAAGAGCAACAAAAAGGGCTTCTTTCAGCATGTAAATAGGAAGAGGAAGGGGAGACAAGTGGTGGGACCACTAAATAAGGAGGAAGGAGATCCAGTGACTGATATGAGGGAACAGGCACAGAAGCTAAATGACTATTTTGCCTCTGTGTTCTCCCCAAAGCAGGACGGCATAGAAGATTAGATGAGGCTGGGGACTTAGGGGCACAGATTAGAGTCACTCCCCTTGAAGTCGAGGGGCTCCTCAGGGCATTGGACATTACAAAGGCGCCAGGCCCTGACGGGTTACACCCGAGATTACTTACAGAGTTGGCAGGGGTTCTCTCACGCCCGCTGGCCTCCATTTTTGAGAACTCGTGGAGAACGGGTGAAGTTCCAGAGGACTGGAGGGTGGCATCAGTGGTCCCAATTTTCAAAAAGGGTAGTAGAAAGGACATGGGGAATTATAGACCAGTTAGCCTTACATCCATTGCAGGAAAAACAATGGAAAGGCTCGTAATACCGAGAGATCTAGTGATGCTAGATAGGGAAGGGAGGCTGACAACCACACAACACGGCTTCTGCAAAAACAGGTCCTGCCAGACAAACCTTGTGGAATTCTATGACAAGGTTTCGAGATGGCTAGATGGAGGGGATGCAGTGGATGTGGTATACCTGGATTTCAGCAAGGCCTTTGACAAAGTGCCGCATGATATCCTGGTGGAGAAACTGAGGAGTTTTGAGATACACCAAAGCACTGTCCGGTTGGTTAGGGCATGGTTGACTGATCGAAAGCAGAAGGTAACCATTAGCGGGGGAATCATTGGAATGGCAGCCAGTGACAAGCGGGGTCCCCCAGGGCTCTGTCCTGGGGCCGATGCTGTTTAATCTTTTCATTAACGACATGGAAGAAGGGGTGAACAGTCTGCTGATCAAATTCACAGATGACACTAAAACTGAAGCAGTGGCCACAACTGAGGAGCAGGTACTCCAGATCCAAAAGGATCTGGACAGACTGTGGAAGTGGGCAGGAGACAACAGGATGACATTCAATGAGGATAAGTGCAAGGTCTTGCACTTGGGGCATCGGAATGGGTGTCATAAGTACAGGTTAGGGGACAAGTGCCTGGAGAACAGCACTTGTGAAAGGGACCTCAGGGTACTGGTTGACTGCAGGCTAAACATGAGTCAGCAGTGTGATGCAATGATCAAGAGGGCGAACGTCACCCTTGGTTGCATAGCCAGAAGTGTGGCTTCTAGATCAAGAGAGGTATTACTCCCACTCTACACAACTCTGGTGTGCCCGCAATTGGAGTATTGTGTTCAGTTTTGGTCCCCTCATTACAGAAAGGATATAGCCAGGTTGGAGTCAGTGCAGCGAAGGGCCACAAGGTTGGTGGCTGGTTTGCAGGGGATGGGGTATGAGGCGAGACTGAGGGAACTGTGTCTCTTCAGCCTGGAGAAGAGGAGACTCAGAGGGGATCTGTTGGCAACATACAGGTATGTGAGGGGATGTCACATGGAGATGGGTAGAGACCTGTTCTCCCCTGCAGAGGAAGGCAGGACGTGCTCCAACGAGGCAAAGCTCAGGGAGCCAAGGTTCCATTTGGATGCCAGCAAGCACTTCCTAACAGTCAGGACCCCGAGGGTGTGGAATGGGCTTCCATGAGAGGTCGTTGAGGCCCCATCGGTGTGGGTGTTCAAGGATAGGCTGGACGTCCACATGGTGGGCATGTCGTGAGCAGAGCCGGCTGGTGCCGCAGGTCAGACTAGATGGCCTGGGAGACCCCTTCTGATTCGCTCCGTTTCTATGTTTCTATGCCCTTTCTCTTTCCTACTGGTAGATTCCAGGACTAAAAATATGGCTTCTGCAATGCCCAGATTGCTAAATCTCAGCATGTATAAAGGTGATTCTCAGCATAAGGAAATATTTTTCTTATGTACTAGGTCACTGTTTGACCGGCAAAGGCTTGCCAGGATTTCAGACTGAAATATTTCTCTTGAAATCTGTTAATGACTCCATTTATTGCTATGTTTTGCATAGGAATGATCTGGTTTATGGTGCAGTCTAAAAGGGGAACAGTAAGGTGCTGTACCAGAATACTCAAAGTCTATGCTAATTGGAGTACAAAGTCTTCTGTGAAGGAAGATCTCCCCCTTAGGGATAATTCTTCTGTTCAACAGGTGATTCGTAGAAGCAATCAGAAGAAGACTATCCATGGCTACTCTCAGGCTCCACTTTCAGAATTATCAGCTGCTGGACTGCAACAACCAGAAAAGTTGCATGCTCAAGAACTTCTCAACGCAGCTGGTTGGCCACTGCGAGAAACAGGAAGTTGGACTGGATGGAGGTTTGGTTTGATCCAGCAGAGCAGTTCTTATGATATCATGATTCCCCAGTACATCAGAATAGATTTGATGAGACGTGGAAGAACAAGAGGATATCATTCTGGATCAGGCCAAAAGCCTACTTAGTCCAGCACTCAGCTCCCACACAGGCCAGTCAGGAGCCCCAGAGAGAAGCCTCCAAGCAGGACATGCGTGCAGTTGCTTCCGAGCGATGGGTAGGCACAGGCACTCCGCCACCGATGCTGGAGACCGAGTGTGTGAGAGTGTGCACACCCTCTGGATGTGCACCACTCTTGTCCTTAATTAGCCATTGCACACACTTTCTTTGGCCTTCATCAAAGGAAGGCTGAGACAAACGAAGAATAATGGCCAATGAAGCATGAATTCTGGGCACAATTCTTTATTTCTGCTGTTCAGCCAGCTCTGGAGGAGACATTTCTGAAGGTGCCACACACTCCTGAGGTTTGCTTCAGGTGTGTTTGCAGCAGAGCATGTGGGCATCACATGCATTTCCAATTATCATTGGGCAGACCCTGCTGTTGGGCATTCAGTCATGTTCTTAAGACCCATCTCTTCACTCAGGTATTTCCTGAGCCACGATAGGCTGTGTTACTTAGCATGAAGTATAATTGTTCATCCATAAGGATTTAATATTATATTCTCATACTGTGGTGCTCTATTGATTGATTTTAAGAGTAACAATAATGGATGCCCATCACATTCATAAATTGCAGGGAGTGGATATAAACACATATAATAAAAAATAAGCTACACTGGAGTGTGTTTCTTTCCTGTAGAAAAAGGGAGTGTATCCAGAAATTGAGTACATTCCTGTCTTGATGCTGTTGGATCAAGAGGAGGTTATTTGAATTTGACGATGCTTCACCTGGTAAAAAGAAAGAGCAAAGCTACTCAGGAAGGGAGATCTCTAAGGGTGTTTAATAGCTCACAAACATTTTTAATAGGTCATAAATCCAAACAGGTCTCAGTGTTGTTTGCTACATATTGACAATTGAACTAAAATAAGAACCTGCCCTCTTCCAGTTTACAAATGCTTGCTTGGTCTCCTGGAAGTGTGGAACCAGAGGTAGAAACATAAATGACTCAGTAAAGCCCTAAGGAAAGGTGATCACCTGCTTCCTCTGGAAATATTCCAGATTTCAGGGGGAGGTTCACAAAATCCAAAAACCTGAACCTAAACTGTCTCATTCCACATGGAAATCCATTACATACTATGGATGGGTTCACCCTGTAGCAGCTTCCTGTCCTGGCCGGAAGCAACTTTAGAGCACAACCAATAAAACAGAAATATTGCTCAAAGACAAACACAAGTATCACAAGTACCATCCAGGCAAAGATGGTTTGGTGAAGGATGGAGTGAAATCCTTTCTGTTTTTTCATGGTTTTTTCACCTTCTTTGAAAGAGTTGAGAGGAGTGAGGGGGGAAATAGAAAACTGGCAGTACTGATTGGCTTTGCACATTTTTTGACCCAGGCATGTTTCTGCATTTCAACAGAACTTATTATTGCCCAAACTGGACAAAGCAGGAAAAATTCCAAGCCTGAAATGAGCTCAGTATATGAAAGTGTGTTCTTGCATATGTCTAATTTGTTCCACTGTTGCACAGGGAAGCAATCTAAAATAGGCTATTGTAACTTTTTATATGTATTTTAATTTGATTTTAAACATTCTATGATAACCTTTTTATGATATTTCAAATGTTGTTGGTATTTTTATATTGCATTTTATATTGCATTTTTATTTGTTGCTGTAAACTGCCCAGAGAGCTCCAGCTATTGGATGTTATATAAATTAAGTAAGTAAATAAAAAGATTTTGGAAGAGAGCAGGGGAAGAGCTGGCTTAGCATTGCCAATACTTACACAACACAATCTGTGCTAACCCCAGCCACGTGCTGGTCCACCCGGTATACCCAGTGCCCTGGGCTGTTCACGTTGCTGGCTTCGGCAAGATGGAGAATATCAGGAGTACGGGATCCCGGGATGATGTAGTAATTTATTTTGTCTCCATTGTCAAATCCAGCCTGGCAAAGAGACACAAGGGAAAGACTCTGGTTATTTAGAGATGGAGGAGACATTCATCTGGCATTCATTTTAATGAGAACAAACTAAATTTTACACATTTGAACCTATAGGTGACCCAACGCTTGGCCTTTGAAGTTTGCATTTTTTGACATTTTTTCAGTGTTTGCTTTTCTCAGAATTTTTCATCAGAAAAATTCCCCTATCTGTGTCCAAAGGAGCACATTCAAAATGCATTAAAAATTCATCTATTAGGGGAAAGTTTGTGAAAAAAATCCATACAATACTGAAAATGACATTAGCAATACGTTAGGTTTGGAAATGTTTTGCAAATATACATATACACACAGAGATGGCAAAATGCACAGAAATACATTCACATTTTCATGGGTCCATTTTTTTTTGGTGGGGGGGAGTCCTTAATGGAGTGTACATTGTTTTGATACCTTGGCCCCAAACCTCCCACTGCAACAATTGATGTACTATGCAAACACCGTCTAAAGTTACCTGTGCTGGAGTTCCTCCAAGGCCTGTCTTAGGATGGCCCCCACTCACTGTCCCTGTAGTCCATTGGATAGAAGCATAGTTGAATATGGCAAAGGATTTTTCTCCATCGGTAGTCAAGACAGCCTGGAAAGTGTTGACCTGTAGCATGAAGGGAAGAGGGAGACATTTTCTTGGTGACCCCAGTGGAGGCTGGTGGTGCCAATGATAGTGGGATAGTGTGTCCACTTTGGATCTTAATCTGAACTTTAAAGGCTCTATCTATGGTGTTCAACCCTACTTCAACCCTCAATAAGATCAGAACCATGGATAGATCCTTGAAGGTTCAGGCCGCAACCTGGGGCTGATGCATTGATCTGCTGCCATTGGAACCACTAAACTGCACTGGAGTAGTTCCAAGTGGTCTTAGCAGGGGAAACTTCTCAGCAGTGGCTCCTTGGCAAATTTTGAAGTGCAGCTGATCACCATGACTGTCTTCATAGGCACAGCCCCAAGGAGAGTCCAACATTATATACAGCTGTGTTGATCCATAACAACAAACCCATTTTAGCAGTTTCCATATCTCTGTGGTCCTTCTACAAAGCTATTAGATCCTAATTGCCTATGCAGGACCAGACACTCCAAGCTGCTTTGCATGGCACCAGGAACTGTCCACAATCATACATGGTTGCTGAGCATAGTCACTCTCCACCCTGCGGCCAGCTATTGTGAAGATTGCACAAGTGACGAGTGATTGCACAAGTGAGGGTAGCAAGTGATGCCAGTAGCTGTGAAGATGAAAGGCATAACTTAGCCTCCTTGTCTGCTATGTATAACTAGAGTTTGGCAAGTTCCCCAAACTACTTCCTATTTATATGAACTTGCTCCACCTGGAAAATCAGAGGAGCCTAGATTAGGAGCATCCAGACTTACTGGACCAGTGGGCACATCTTCAGTTTGGATCAAGGGTTTTGGGGGTTGTCACAAAATGGTGGGCATGGTCAGGCAGAAAGCCTTCATTTCCCAGAAGCCAGGCCAATCAGACTCAGCTTGCCCAGGAACTCAATGCAAGGTGGAGGTGGGGTCTGAGCTCTAAAACATGAAGTAATTCTTATGAACTCAAATAAAACTGTTACTGAGGGACAGCCCTTTGCTTTGAAGCTTATGCTCCCCTTGGTTTATAACTCCATATATAAAACAAAAACAAAACAAAGATGGGAAGGGCAGGAGGCCAAGAGAGATTCTGTAGTCACTATGGTGCCAATGGACAATATGTAGCTCATTTCCCAACCAAGAATGGACTCTCCCCAGGTTAAAACATGTTGAGGGCCACTTGATCTATCTTGGGTATGTCCAATCATGCAGGTTCTTCCCATCAAATTGGTCCTCCCTTGTGCTAGAGGACTGATGTGTTACAGAACCAACTTCTTGGTCCATTGAAAGGTTCTCCTAGCCAACAAGAAGATGCTAATGGATAATCAGCAATTCTACAGCTTGGAGAAGGATAATGCCTTGTCCAGCTCAGAGAAAGACCTACTTTTTTTGATCTAGATCCAAAATAGGCCACACGGTCCCAGGTAGCGATGAAGGCCCAGGTAGCTGTGAACGGGATGTCAGGGAAGTACTCATTGATGTCTGTAGTGCAGCGGTCAAGCAGTTTTGGGTTCTGAGTCTGCCGCCAGAAGACGTTCCCACCCGCACGTGTGTTTATGTCACTCCAAAATGGGGCAATAAGGGGAGGTCCACCATCCCGGGGTAAACTGTCTGGAGTCAGTGAAGTCACTGGAACTGTTTCACCCAAGGAAATCAAACCATTGTTGTCCACCTGCAGAAAGGGGGACAAAGGGAGAGCGATGGACAGAGACAGACTCACAGTTGAATATGGCAGAGTTGTTATGAATCAGCTGCAGAAAGAAGAGAGGTCATGGAGGAAAGTGAGTGGTTTGGAAAACCTCCATCAAACATGCCTTGGTCCTTGTAGCACTCTGCTGCACTCTCAGATTGCAGATTCTCAGTGGCTTTATGAATAATTGGATTTATCAAGCATTCTGTAATTTTACATAATTGGCATGGTGGGGCATGACAAGAGGGAGCTACAGCAAACAGGCATTTTAGTCGGTTAGAGCTCAGGTTAGATCTTGGAACTGTTGAAAGGAAATGCACTAAAAGCGGAACAACCCCAAAACAACAGTGAAGAGGACCCCGGGCAGCAAGAATATTCTCAAAGACTCCTCAATCCATGGTTCCCTATATTCTTTAAGGAAAGCTATGAATTTTACTGGTATTAAAAATATTTTTTTGGCGTGAAGACAGGCCCTAGCTTTCTGATTGCATATATTGAATGTTGGATTTTTATGTGTAATTATTACACCGTTGGCTCTGCTTTGCAGTCATTTTTTTATTTATTATGTTCTATTGTATTTCAATGTATTTTATTGTGTTGTAAGCCGCCCCGAGGCTTCGGCAAGGGGCAGCATAGAAATGTTATAATAATAATAATAATAATAATAATAATAATAATAATAATAATAATAATAATAATAATCTTTGTTGTATGCTGCCCTGATATTTTTTTCTCATTAATTTCAGGAAAGTGAGATAAATAGCTCAATTTCCCACCATATTTGTGGTACACATTTGTTTCCATGACTCCTGAGAGGGAAGATTCTATGTAGCAGCCTTGCTCTGGATGGTTTCCTCCAGATGTATTGAGTAAAATTCCCATAATATGGACAGGTAAATCCACACCTATGGAGGTCAATACCTTGGGCAAGTCTGCTATAGAAAAAGCATATATATGAATGACCTTTATACAAAAGGTATCAAAGGGTCATTGATGATCCATTCCCACCATGCCAAATGATGCTTCTTGTGTGCACTGGAGCTCCTCACAAATCAAGGTGTACATGATATACAAAAGAGGAAGTAAGAAGCAGAGGCAGGCAGAGCTCTGTTATGGAGTCTGATAGAGAATCACATCACTGCACCTCCTTCTGGCCAAGTGTTACATACATAGAGGGTGCTGTACTTCTTGCCATAGAAGGGGAAGGGAACTGCAACAGAGACCGCTGGGGATTCTGCATCATCTGATTTGGGATTCTTCATGTCACCTTGGTCTGTCCCATAAGAATACAGAAACAATTCTAGAGTAGAAGAGAACACCTTGTTATTAGGTCAAGAAATCCTGCTCAGAAACGAGTTTTACAAAAGGTTGCTGTGAGGTGCGGAAATGCAATGTATTATCTTGGCTGTTCCCCTCTCCCCCCACCACCTCAAAGGGAACTACCAGGAAGCCTTAATGCAACAGGAACTGCTTGCAACTGCTTGCTTAGACTTCTCTACCTTACTTGTGGCCAGATACATTAGGGAAAGCATTCCATCCTATTTCTTTTAAGAGAGAAGGGATTTTCCAAACCTTCTGGAAGGTTCATCATTAGCATATTATTAGCTGAGGTTCTGCATCCTCCAAAATTTCAGGACCTCTCTGTGAGGCTCTCTGTGAGAGTGTTGGTGTATCTGTTAGGGAGCATTGAATGGCAGCCAGCACCTTGAAAAATGGCAAAGAGCATTTAGGGCGTTTCCACAAAAAGCATTTATTGTGCTATGAACTCCTTTATCCTCTGTTTCATTGCAGCATTGAGATCGGAGCTTTACACAGGCAGTCCCTGAGTGACAAACATCTGAGTTATGAACTATCCATGCTTACTTATGAACTGCCATAAAGCCTATTAGTTTTTTAAGAATTACTGCAGAAAATCATCATCACTGTAGGGAAAAAAGAAGTGAAAGGGAGGGGATGGTCTCCAAAGCATGCCTTCCTGCTCTGCCCATCTAGAGAGAAACATCTCTCCAGCATTTCCTTGCTGCAAAGAGGAGGTCCTGGTGAGTTTGGGCAGGGGAGAGACTACAGAAATTCATGATTTTTTTCCATTGTCATGGGGACCCTGCACCCCTAGCCCCTGCAAATATGGAGGGACAATGATACATGATCAACTTACATAACATTCAACTTAAAGACAATTTGCCTTTTTCTCAGGGACAGAATTCATTTATAACCTGGGGACTGCCTATACAACGAACTCTCATTTCCTGCTTTTCTGTGACACAACCTCTAGATGGAGCTGAGCTATAGCAATTTAACTTAAATATACCAGCAGAGAGAATGCTACTTTCCTCATTGTAATTCAAGAGCTCATCTCCCTCGAAAGAGATTCGAAAGAGGAGGAAGGGGGGGAAAGCCCTTAGAAAAAACTGCAAAGTGGTTTTATCTTTCTAAGGATGGAAGGTTTCAGAAAAGAACAATCTGAAGCTTCCCCAAATCAGAAAACATCTGGGAAATATCAACTCAGCTCTATCTTCTCTATGCCCCTCCTGCCTCTGAAATGACAAGTGAGGCAGAGAAAAGGACTGCATTTGGCAATCCATCCTCCAGATGCTGATTCCTGTCATAGATTCTCATCTCTTGAATCATTTTAAATGTGTTTCCTAGAGAAAGTCTTGTACATTGTCATGAGAAATCTCCAATGCCTGTCTCTCCCTGCAGGGAACCTCTGTCAAGCCCCTGTTAAGGTCAGTGCTTTACATTTGGTATCACCTGCAAATGCTAATGCTTGTGCTAATTAGGAGGGCTTAATGGCCTTGTGCTGACATACACAATGATCCGTACAGTGCTGTTGCACACGACATTCTTGTTCTAAACTTTCCATCCATGTCAAAATAACCCTGTTCTTTTTCTTCCAAGGGTGGTCAGCAATATCAGGTGAGGGCCACATGAAAGCTTATATTTAGGGTTGCAACAAAGCTCCAGTTGGAATCCAGTCCTCTTCAGCTCATGGATTTTATGTTTGACCTGGTTTTAAAAGTGAGCCAAGCCAAGAGGAAGCCCACAAACTCTCATGGAACAAAGACTGAACTTGCAACCATCTTCTGCATTGTGTGCAGCACAAACCAGAGGGATGCTGGTTTGGCAGAGTTCATGCAGGACTGGCCAGGGATGTGGACTCATGGGCATGACAAAGAAGACCAGAGCCCAGGGCACCTAGCCCTAGGAATCCAACAGATCCCCACTCCCCAAAACACATTCTTCCACATCTCTTGTTGCATTTGAAATAATGTCAGCAGCATAGCACTTGATTACCTTCTATAGGGATGCATGAGGAATCTGATGCAGGGTGGATGTCTGAGGGATTTTCATGATTCCTGCCCTCACCCTGATTCTGGTTCACCAGCCCTGTGTTAGTGCTGACTCACTATGGCAAGAGTTGAGTCAGCCCATGGATTGCTGTCTCTAAGATAATCGGCAGTTTGTGCTTGAAGTGCTTTACAAGTGCTTGAAGACCACATGCTCTTCACATGCCATTTTATGCAAATCATCTAATCTTACAAAAATTGCACCAGATTTTTATAGGGACCATTTTACCAAAAACAAACAAAACAAACAACCAAAAGCCAAAAACCAAAAATGAAAAAGTGAAAAAATCAAAAATAAAAAAACCAAAAGACAAGGAAATGAGAAACAAGAAACAAAAAACTGAAAAAAAAAACTCCAAACCAAAAAACAAAACTACAAGGACAAGGACAAATTTCTCTGATGTGGGCAAATTGTGTAAATTTGCACAAATTTCCTTTCCACTTCTTTCAAACATACAGACTGTGACCTGTCTTAGAGAAGGAAATCTGCAGAATAAAACCAACTCGGCCTGCTTCAAATATCAGGATGGGAGTGGCAGGAAGCCCACCAAGCACCAATGAGCCAGATTTCTAGGCATATCCACACCATCCTAAAGAATCCCACATCTCAAATCTCCATCTCTCAACCCAACTGCATCTTACCTTCAGACTTTGGGACTGGAGGCACCAGGGCTGATCCTAAAAAGTGGCAACAAAGAGACTCTCATCAGAGATGTGCGTGTTACCTACACAGAGACTGAGGCCATTGTGTGCGACAAAGAATCACAGAGCTGCTAGTTGTCCAATAAAGCAAAGATAGCTAGTGGATACCTCACTCTGAGAGCAGGAGCTTAACAAATTCCTCAAAGGAAAATACCTTGGAAGATCAAATGCTTATACATAAAGCCGTGGTGGGGCAGTAGGTAACATGTTGGACCAAGACTCTGGGAAGCCAGATTCTAGTCCCTCCTTTATTTATTTATTAGAATTATATCCTGCCTTGTTTTCCTACAAAATGGCTTACATCATTCTTCTCTTCCTGCTTTCAACTTTATCCCCACAACAACAACCCTATGAGGTAGGTTGGGCTGAGAGTCTGTGACTGGCCCATATTCAGCCAGTGGGCCATGATTTGGTAGGACTAGAAGCCAGATTGCCTGAGTCCCAGTCCTGCGCTCTTAACCCCACTGGCTCTCCTTGGCCAGGAATTTCATTGGGTGACTTTTGACTAGATACTGACTCTGCCTAGCTGGCCTCAGTTGCTGTGAGGATAACATGGAAAGGAAGAGAAATGCATCTACTCCTTTGGGATCCTTGAAGGAAAAGGGTGGCATATAAAGAAATGAATTCCAAACAATTTCCATAGCTGACCATTCAGTCTCTGCTTATATGGCTAAAGCTACACCATCCATGCAGAAGACAGAGGTATCAGCATGCATAGGGGAACCCACTATAAATAAAAACATAAATAGAAGAAAACCTAAGGGGTGGGGTGGGAAACATTGTGGGCATTGTTCTCATAATAATAATAATAATAATAATAATAATAATAATAATAATAATAATATAACTCCAGTTCTCCGTCAGTTTCACTGGCTCCCCATTGAAGTCCAGCCCAATTCAAGGTGTTGGTTATCACCTACAAAGCCCTTAACGGCTTGGGACCTGGTTATCTAAAGGAGCGCTTGCATCCATATATGCCTGCCCACCCCCTGAGATTGGCAGCAGAGGCCCTTCTCTGGGAACCCTCTGTGAAAGATATTAGGAGGGTGAGTACCTGGAGGAGGGCCTTCTTTGCGGTGGCGCACCACCTATGGAATGCGCTCCCCAGAGAGAGGTCCGCCTGGTGCAGTCAAATTTGTTTTTTGGTGCCAGGCCAAGACCTTTTTATTCAAAGGTCATTTTAACTGTTAATACTATTTATTTATTTTATTCTTCAGCCAGGGTGGCTTATTTTATATTGTTAATTGTTTTATATTTTTACTGTATAATATTTTAATTGATATATTTGTGAGCAGCCCCGAGGCTTTTTGCAAATGGGGTGGCATAAAAATAGTTTAAATAAATAAACAAACAAACACAGATGAGGACTGAGCATACTTGATGGCCACTCTGTCTGTTGTGGGGGACATTTTTTTTTAATTGCTGTTATTGGATTTAGATTTTGCTTCTATGAACCATTTTGAAGCACCATACAGTTGAGGAAAATCTATTATATTTAGGGATGTGCAAAGTGGTAAAATTCAAGCTTCTTAAAGGTCTCTAAATTCCTTTTCACAATTCATTCTGACTTCAGTCCATAGCAGCTCAAGTCCATATCAATAAAATCACTCTGACTAATGGCCTAATCACAGATAAGTTTAGGGGTCCATCAGAAATACTTCTGGTTCTAGAAAAGTTGTAGAATATAGCTTAGTTGCTTGATATATCAAAGATAGAAAGTGGAAACAGGACAAAATTAAACAGAAGTGTGAGCTGTATTATTCTTAGTGCACCAAAAAAAGTCGCATGAAGTTCATGAACACTTGGGTTTCAACTAGATTGTGAACTGTGAACTAGATTGGGATCAGCATTCTCCAGGATATGGTATCTCATTTCTGATAAGTGTGGCCCAGTTTTCGGACTAAAGAAGTCTTCAGTCCAAATTTAGTTCTCATTTCAAATCCACCTTACCTTTTGGGATTGAGACAGAAGATGTTGGCCTTGATCCTAAAAAGCAACAAAGAATGAGACCATCACACCTGTTACACACATGATAAAAGGCTCCAACTAAGATCAGTTCTACAATCTCAGAACCAAAAAGCACCATCAGATTCCATGGCAACACAAGACTGAGATGAAATCAGTCTAGCAAAAATCAAGCTTGAAAGCTTAGTTCCTGCAAAACAAAGGTGAGCTGAACTGAAATTCTCTTCTGGTATGGTGAGAATTCACCATCATGTATCAGCTTGCCATATTGCTATGAAAGATGAGGATAGCAAAGAAATTGCTGTTGTTGTTGCTAGTTGCGAAGTCGCATCCGACCCATTACGACCCCATGGACAACACTCCTCCAGGCCTTCCTGTCCTCCACCTTCCCCCGGAGTCCACTTAAGCTCACACCAACTGCTTCAGTGACTCCATCTTGAGACCTCATTCTCTGCCATCCCCTTCTTCTTTTTCCATCAATTGTTCCCAGCATTAGGGTCTTCTCCAGTGAATCCTTCCTTCTCATTAGGTGGCCAAAGTATTTGAGCTTCATCTTCAGTATCTGGCCTTCTAAAGAGCAGTCAGGGTTGATCTCCTCTAGGACTGACTGGTTTGATCTTCTTGCAGTCCAAGGGACTCGCAGGAGTCTCCTTCAGAACCACAATTCAAAGGCCTCATTTCTTCAGCACTCAGCCTTCCTTATGGACCGGCTTTCACAGCTATACATTGTATCTTGACTATATGCACTTTTGTTGGCAGGGTGATGTCTCTGCTTTTTAGTATGCTATCTAGATTTGCCATAGCTTTCCTCCCCAGGAGCAACCGTCTTTTAATTTCTTGGTTGTAGTCACTGTCTGTGGTGATCTTGGAGCCCAAGAAAATAAAATCTGTCACTACCTCCATTTCTTCCCCATCTATTTGCCAGGAAGTGAGAGGACCAGATGCCATGATCTTAGTTTTCTTGATGTTGAGTTTCAAGTCAACTTTTGTGCCCTCCTCTTTCACCTCTTAAGTTCCTCTTCACTTTCACCATTAGAGTGGTATCATTTGCATATCTGAGGTTGTGGATATTTCTCCTAGCAATCTGAATTCCAACTTGTGATTCATCTAGCCCTGCCCTTCTCATGATGTGCTCTGCATATAAGTTAAATAGGAAGGGTGACAGTATACAGCCTTGCCAAACTCCTTTCTCAACTTTGAACCAATCAGTGGTTCCATGTCCAGTTCTCATTGTTGCTTCTTGACCTGCATATAGGTTTCTCAAGAGACATATAAGATGGTCTGGTACTCCCATCTCTTTACGAACTTGCCACAATTTGTTGTGATTCACATAATCAAAGGATTAGCATAGTCAATGAAGGAGATGTTTTTCTGGAACTCCCTAGCTTTCTCCATGATCCAGTGGACCATTTCACTGGTTTTCTCTTAGGACAGGAGAAATGTCCTATAGTTTCTTAAGGTTGGGGTTCACCATAAAAGATGGCAGAAGACCATCTCCTTCTTTTGCCTTTTTTTTGGGGGGGGGGGTCTGCCAGTTCTTTTCCTGTACAGTGACTCAGTCAGGTGTGATTTGTGGTGCACAACAGAGTGTGTGCTTTTATTGCCAATTAATAGTTTGGTGACCATGAAATGGTGGCTGCCAGTTCCATAGTTCAACTATGTATTGTTTGGCAGCCTGGCAGCCATTTCATTATCATTCTTAATGCCCTGAATCCATCGCCATTCCACTGGATGCTGGTGGGTTCCTTCAGAGGAAATTTAGTTCAGCAGGGTTCTCCTGGGTGGGTAAGAAAAAGAACAAAATGGGGGAAATGCTTTCAGAAAAATACAGTACCTCAAGGAGCAAAGGATGAGAATAGCATTGGGCATAACCAGGGGCTGTGTTGGGATATTTAAACCAGATGCATGCAAATATACTTTAAAAGAATCTCCCAGTGAAACCCATGAAAATCTCCACAGCCTGCGGTCAAACTGTCCCTTCCATGCAAGCGAATGAGAATACTTACTGCAGGAGCAAAGAGCCACAGAGCCATAGCCATCACGGTAAGAACCTCCAAAGGTGACGACCCCAAAAGAAGAAGTGAGGTGCTCTATGGGAAGCACTGTAGCTTTTGTGCCCAGGGAGAGTTCAGCCCAAGAATATTCTGTGCCAGGAATAGCCTGCCACTGGATATTTTCAATGGGCTTCTTTGCTAATTGGATCTGGCTGGATTCTGAAGTAATAGCAATGATGATGATATAATTATCATTCTGCCCCATCCCATCAATATGGTACTGCCTGCAATAGCTTTCTAAGGCTGGGATATTGATGAGGAATGGGTCGTAGAGTTGGCTTCCTTCAGGAGCATCAGCAGAAAGGGGGATTAGCTGGTCGTAGGATAGGTTTCCACTTATGGTACCACCAGAGAAGAAGAGGACTTGGATTCTCTCATCTGCAGAGATAAAGAGTGGCTGAGAGCTCTTTGTGGCAATCTGGATAACTTCACCAGCCACCATATTACGGGTGCGTTTTTGGAGCCCAGACTGGTAACTGATAGAAGTATTTTGGGAAGCAAGGACATATGTAATGTAAAATTTGCTTTGATAGGATAGAGAAGGGACAATGTAGGTGGTTCCCCAGCTGGATACAGGCAAGAGCTGCTCAACTACATGGTCACAGGCTGTGTGCTTCCTAGCACAACTGTGTCCACTCAAGACAGCCACAGGTTCCACAGATTCCACCCTGGTGCCAGACAGATCATCAGAGCTTTGCAGCTGGATTGCCTGGAAGGCCTTAAGGTCAACAACCAGCCGGCTTCCTGCAGGATAAGACAGCCCTCTGAACGTCACAGCCCCAGTCAGGAGAATGTCTACTAGAGTAGGAGAGTTATGAGCTACAACTGCAAATTCTTTGAAGGTGTTTTCTAGGTCACCTGATGGTGTAACTACATAATACAATTTGCCCAATTGTTCAACTGGGTACACAACTGTGGAACCACTTGAGTAGAGCTTGTGGTTGCAGGAGAAGACAGAGATGTCCTTGTTGGCTTGGATCTTCACAGTCCCGTCGAACAAGCCTGAGTCCAACATTTCAAGGGAACTGGGAAGCTGGATTGATACTACTTGCCCTTCATTGACAGTAACAGTTTTCTGGAAGTTAGGGTTGTTCACAGTCACTAGGACATTGGTTTCAGGATGGTAGCCATTAATAAGCAGCGTGAACTTAGGATCAGGCTGGCTTTGCCTGAGGTTGTATAAAAATGCAGTGACAAATTCCTTCCCATGGGATCTTGCTACACAGGTCCCTAAAAACAAATACAAATAAAATGGATTTAAAAAGAATGCGTCATTATGAAAGGAGGAGATAGGATCAGACATCATGTATCATAATGAAAGCATATAAATGTATAATGCAGCCAAATCTGGAAATCTGCATGTTGCCCTGGATGCTCCATCTCAGAAAGGACTTCCAGAAGACAGGGGTGAGGATGTAATCTCTGACACAGAGGTAGTAGGCAGCTGTGGTCAAGCTGCCAGGACCAGGGTGCACATACAGGGTGGTGGCTTGCACCAGGTTAGAATGTTAGAGGCAAAAGGCATGATTTTGAGTTCCCAAGGTCAAGAGTCAGCAAGACAACATGGTTCAGGCAAAGCACAGGCCAGGAGCAGGCCAAGGGTCAGCTAAGACAGTAAGATAGTCACAATCAGGAGCAAGGGGAGGTCAGAGAGGATGGGTGCAGTACCTGGTAGGGCAGGGTCAGGTTGGAGACAAGGAGGGAAGCAGGAAAAGGATGGAACTGGGCAGGAGGCAGGCAGGTAGGCAGGCAAGTGAACTGGCAGGTGGATAGGCAGGAGCAAAGTCCCAGTTCAAGACAAAGTAGAAGTCAAAACATGAGGTAACCGCCAGAACAGCTTGTGTTGCTGGGGCAAAGAGCAGCCGTGCAGTGAAGCTGTATATGCAGCTGTCCAGGGCTCCCACCTGCACTGTAGTGTTGCCACACAGCTGCTCCCTGCAAGCACCTGCAGGGGTGTTCCTGGTTCTGCAGATACTTGCAGGGTGACCCAGACTCTGATCCTAACAGAGGGTGTGCAGGAATCAGAAACAGCTATGGGCACAAGTACCTCAATTATCATGATTTTACAGCATGGAAGGAGAAATTTATTTTTCCCCCAGTCATTCTATCAGAATGACCCAATGGCAAGCTAGCCAGATGCAAAATTAAGGCAGGCTTTTAATAATCATGCAGCAGAGACAACACCTGGTAGAATTTACTCTTTTATGCCTTTATTGATGGGGTGGCATATCTTTCCTCTTTTCAATCTGGCTGTTGTTTGCAGTGGCTGCAGTAGACTCAAGACAAGAAAACGAAGGATGAAAGCATCCTGTTCCATGGCTTAACCTCACATGCAGTGAAATCCAAAGTATGCTTACTCAGACATGTGTTCCACTGAGCTCAATGGTTTGCATATTATTGCAGCCTTTGAGAGCAATCTTATGGGTTTCTACCACTTGTTACAGAGGGTTCTGAAGTTGGAGTACTCCCTGTATGCAACAGTCTGCTCACAGGAGGAATAAATGTCTCTTTTAGCATCTCCATCCTCCAAAAAAGAGTTTTTTACACCACACAGCTCTTTGGGCTCATCTGAGACACTTGTCTTAGCAGATTCAAACCTCAGTTTCCTCCTCCTCCTCCTCCTCCTCCTCCTCCTCTTCCCCATTTCCTGAGACTGACTTTTGGGAGAGGGAGTCCCCCAGAGCTTACTTGATCTACTATGCTTATGTTTTTATTTTAATGGTTGTTTGCAATTCAAGCATCATAACCAAGTGGAAAGCAGGGCATGGAATGAATGAAGTAATGTTAATGATCAGTTATACATGGATTTTAACATAAGGTCTGTTTTTGAGGAGGCTCATTTCATTCACTGAAACTCAGAACCCCAATTCACTGACCCTTGTGCAGTGCAATAATGAAGGGAGGAGTGAGACTGGCTGCTAACTCTTTAAGAAGCACTGGGTAGCTAGAACAAAAATGAAATGTGTGTTTGGCTTCTCTCTTCCTTTTTTCCCTTTCCTTTTTTTTGTGGGGGGTTGTGATTCACTCAGTTTACAAATCCAGCATACTCACCACTCAGTAGCATCAAACCAGTCAAACAAAACAGGATCCACCTCATTGTCACGGCTGTAGAACAAGAAAGGATGGATTATGGAATGCACTCCTCAGAGAGGTCCGCCTGGTGCCGTCATGTTTTTGGCACCTGATGTTTTTTGGCACCAGGTTATTTGGCACCTTTTTATTTAATTAATATGTTAATATGTTTTAATATTGAATTTTGTTATTGTATTTTATTAATTTGCAGCCAAAGTGGGTCATCAATTTATTTATGCTGTTAGCCGTCCTGAGAAGTTAGTATTTGGACAGCATACAAATTTTATAAATAAATAAAATAAATTATTGAAAAGAATCCCACCTTGGCAACTTTTTTTGGCCACACACAAAAACTTGGATTCCTATATCCAAGAATTTTTGCCTGACTGACACCTCAGAACCTAAGCAAAACAACTTCTGGAGATGGTATTGCGAGAGCAAGAGCTCAGATTTCTGTGAAGCCAACCTGTCGATTTTGCAGTGGAGCAGCTTCACTGAGTTCAGCAGATTGGGAGGACTTGCAGACTTGGAAATGAAATTTATGCTACTTTTCATTCCTGCACTTGTGCAAATGTACATCTTATTTCTACAGAGTTTACACCTATCAATGCTGATTTGCATTAACCAATGTACACTTGTGTTTTGACAGTAGAACAAAATTCTCCCTCCTCCCCACCCAAAAAGGGTGCTTTGATTAGAGCAGGTGATGGAATGAAGGATGCCTGAGAATCCACAAAACAGAGATAGAACACTTGTAACAAGATCTGCACAATCCTGTTTCTGCACTGACTAGCACCAGTGGCACTGAAGGGCAAAGAGGGAAAACTAAATCAGACTAACCCTTTCACCCTCCCCCCTGCTGCATTTACATTCAGTTCCTCCTGCAACACCTTTCCTCTCCTCCATCTCCCTTCCTTTTCCTTCCCAGCCTTAACAATCATTTGCAATTCATAGTAGTAGTAGCAGTAATATTAATCATCCTCACCATACTCTTTAATCAGCTCCCACTGCCACACCTGCCCCTGAAGTGTGCATGGCAAATCCATAGCACTGGGCATTCCAAGCAAGATGCCCTGAACAGCCTGCAATACTAAGAGCATCTGTTGGCCAAGACCCACCAGTACATCCTAAGCCAGATACTGAAAAACACTGCTCTTTGGACTTCAGCTCCCATCAGCCCCACCTACCATAATCAAAGGAATCTTCGGAATTGTGGATTGAAACATCTGGAGGGCACAAGACTGGGGATGGCTGGACTAGATGGATCCTGCTTTGGCTGTCCGGCCATAGGACTTGCTTTTGATATGACAAGTTCAGCAATAGCAATTGATCAGCATCGCAAAGCAATTGAGAAAGAGCTGATTACCTTCAACTTTCAGTAGAGCTTCTTGGCTTGATGATGATGAAGAAGAAAAAGAACCGCTCTGCCCACTGTCCACAACTCTTAGCTACAGCTCCTCCTTTTATAGAGAACAAAATAACAATGAAAGCCTCTTTCCCAATCAACTTCCAAGGAAGCTCCCAAAACTCAGAAGTCCTTGCTTTATTGGCTGCACAAACGTAAGAGCCAAATACCACAATATATGAAGTCAACTCCTCAAAAGCTATGGAGTCCATCTTTTCAACCCCAAGAGATTAAATTATGTGCTTTAATGTCTGTGATTAAATATAGGTGGGGAGTACCCCAGGATAGGGTTAACTGTTCCCACTGCTAAATGAAGCTGCAGAATTTGCAAAAAAACATGGCACAATATAATTCAGCATTGAAGTTGACACATACAATTCTTCTAAATTAGGAAGTCATAAATTAGAGATAGCTTTTAGCCAATTATAATGACATGATTAGAGTAAGTTTAGCTAATGCAGCCTTTCACAATCACTTAGTCCCCTTATCTCCTGTTTTCCCGGGCATAGTGTATTGTATGAAATCTGAAAGTTCTAACATTGACTCATAGGGCTTTTGCTCAACGAACACTTCTTGCAACACCTCGGTCATCATTTTTCAAAAATCCTTAGCTCATACAAACAAATGAAATCTGCTTTCCTCGATAGTACAGCCAATGTCTTATTGTATTTAATATATAGGGGTTTTTGAATGATCATGCAATAAAGAATATAACCATTCCTCTTCTATTTATACATACTGGCCTCTATCCATATTTAATAGTACATAATTCCTATTGAAGTTGATGAGGCTTCATTCATGACTAATTTAACCCATTCATTTTAGAATGGTCTCAGTTTAGCTAATTTAGTTTGGATCCAAAACACCAGCTGTAAACCCTCCATGAATGCATGATCCCATACACCTTCAGGAATCTCCATCCTCAAGACTTCCTTTTACTGGAACTCCCATCATAAAATGCTGCCATTTGCGATCTGACATGGGCCAACTGCTATTGCATCATTCAGTGTGGAACTGACATTTGTGGCACGGTGAGTGAAGGCATGACATCATTTTCCCATGCTAATAATTGGACTCCACTGTGTCGCAGGATTTTGGCACAGTGACCTAGTCAATATCTGTAGTTTCTCTTTCTCTTGGTTTCTCTTTCCATGGGGATGAGACCCCAAAGAATAAAGTCAGAAATGAGCTCAGAGAATATGCAGCTGGCCAGATATGACCCAAGAGATGCTACAGTCTGGCATGAAGGACAGAACAACAGCTCTCATTCCAGGAAATAAAGCCAGCTGCACTGGCAGATGAATCTGTCTTCAGTACAGATCCACCAATACCCTTGAAGGCAGCAGACTAACTTACGGGCACAGAGCAGTCCTCCTGTTACCACCTCCCAGGGTCCTCCACCTGAAGTCTTACTAACGGTGGGATTGGCCTGCAACTAGCCAGTTATGATATGGCATTTTGCCATTTAAAGAAAAAAAAATACATATTCTGCTGGGGGTTTTTTGTGGCCTTGGAGTTCAACAGCTCTCAACAATCTCTTGGAATCAAGGTCAAGGGCAAGAGAAATTTGAGACATGTTGTATGTTTTAAAAAGGAAAAATTCCAAAGCTGCAATTTTTCTTTGGAACTTATTAATGCATACTGAGTGAGAGCCAAAGCATGTTGGGTCTTCCCCCAAACCACAAACAAAGCTGACACTTTGGCCCATTTCCTTCCATTCCTGAAGAATCTCCATGAGTTTAATTAACTCATGGAAACAACGTGTGCCTTGCCATCAGGAAGAATCCTTCCTGAAACCCAGGGGTCGGGGTATGCCACCATTCAGTGACCTGGTTCTCACAACATGTCAACATGGTGGATTTCCATGTTGTGTGAAGCTGGATCAGTTTCTATAGTGTGGCTAATTTTTCGCAAACAATGGCTTGGCTTAGGGTTGTTGAGACTCATGGTGGCTTCTCGTGACTGGGAAACTCTGTCATGGGTTGCTGGGAATGTGTATCATCCAGCCAAGGGCAAAAAAGCAAAGTAGGGGCTGGGGAAACAAGGGATTTTGCCACAAAGTGCCTGAAATACAGGCCAGAGCTGTTGGGGGACAGAGAAAGACTAAGGGGAAACAACTCACAACCAGCCTGATTGTCTGCCGGGTTAGCAAACAAACAAGCAGCTCATGGGGGCTTATTCACAGGGGGCTTAGCTTGATGTGCATCCTCTCCCGGCATCAATAGTACAGGGGCAGAAGGATTCCTAGCCTCAACTCAGTCTAAGACAATTTATAAATCCACAAATCATAGCCCATTTTAAGACAGAAGTCCATGACTGGCTCAACTCACATCGGACTGAGTTAGCAGTAGCACAGGGTTGACAGAATGGAACTCATGGGACCTAGTCAAGAAAATCCATCAAATTTTGATCCCTTGTTGGGTTCCTCATCTGGATCCAACCATGGAAAACTGATCTAAGAGCAAAGGTGGCTGAAGCTGTGGAGAGCTACACTCTTCCTGCTCTTGCAGTCCACTCTCTTACTTACTTACTTATTTATTTTATTTAAAGTTTTTGTATGCCATCCCCTTGCTATATAGCCTTGGGATGGCTCACACAAATAAATATAATACAAATGCAAATACTTTCTTGGCCCTGCAGCATTGGTCCCAACTTCTTTTTCTTTTCACATTAAGGTTGTAAGATGCCCAGTTGACTCCAGAGCATCTGGAGGGAAAGAGAAAGGAGTGGGAGTAAGGGAGGGTCCATCTGTTCTCACTTATGGACCACTTCTGCTTTAAAAATGAGAAGTGCCCCCTTTGTTTCATCATATTGGCCCATGCCTAGTGTCCACAGCAGGCCTCCTGTTCGTGCATCTAACAGCCACTGGTGGAGGTCAGTTTTTGCTACCCTTTAATGAAGAAAGTACCTTTAGCATCTACAAAAGGCAGAGCTTCTCTACCCTGGTGCCCCAACTCTGGACTTCCCATCCACTGGAGGTCTTGTGCTGCCTTTGCCAGCAGGTGAAAGAACAGCCATCTCTACTGGCACAACCATTTTAAAGCAACCTGACAAATTTGCAGATTCGCAGACTTGCAAATCTGCAGGTTTGTAGATTTGAGTCTCTTTGTTTCTTCAGCTGTTTGAAATAGTTCTATTCTTCCTGAGCTTCTATGATGATACTTAGAACATGTCATTTAAAAAAAAAAAATCCTATTATGTTTTATTACACATTCTAGTTCATTTTATGTACAGCACCCTGAGCTTTTTTTGGGGATGAAGATGTGGTTTATAATATTTTTGGTACCTAATGGGGGTGGCGAAAAATCATGGCACATGGAGGGGTCATGCGTGGGCATTATACAAAGGATCCTTGGACAAAGGACTCAGAGCAGAGAGAGCAGAGCATTGTCTGGTAGACTGGACATGTTTTGTGCAGGTAGAAGGTGGGAGGTGAAAACATGAGGTTGATCTTGAGATAATAGCATAAAAGAATATCCCAAACAGCAGGCATTTCATGAAAACTGTTGTCCACCAAGCGAGAGCCAAGAACAAAATTACCCTTACCATACATTTTACTTTGAAATGTTGGGGTGGAAGGATGCCATTGCCCTCCTATCTTGCTT